TTTGAACTTTTTTGAGGCCTCACTGCATGTTTGGTTTTGAGTCAATATTATTGTCTCAGATGTTACATTTACAGCCATCTAAAATATCGAGTGCTCACAAATATCATACTGTGAGGTGTTAATGACCCCATATGAGAACCTAGTATATTGAATTAAAACATACTGAGATGGTCAGAAAAATAATCTGTATGGATGTGTTTCTGCAATTCTATACATAATTGCATATATGTATGCACATCCTACATTATACTGTTGCATAATGTGAAGCAGAGGGATATGGGCATGTTCCTTGAATAATTTCTGCAACCAATAGATTGATAATCTTGGAACAGAGCGGTTATGCATACATCCTCTGTGTTAAGTAGAAGCCTAAATATCCATACCTCTAACTGATAATGTCTGATAGGATCACCACCAGAAAAAAAGCGTATAAGAGTATTATTATCTACTTTTAATTTCATCCAAGATGTGTTGTTATTTCCGAAGGGTTAATTAACTGATCATCTGTATTGTACCCTCTATTAAAAAGCGTCAACCATTCCAACACTGGATGAGTAGTTTTCCATAACATTTGGATTTCTTCCTTTTTCCAGGATACACTGAAACACTTCATACACATAAATGATTTATTTCATACAGATGTCAAAAGTTGCATCTGGCCAGCACCTTGCTCTGTAACTGCATTATGGTTTTCTGATGCAAAACATTATTTAGCATTTGAAACTGAAAAACTTTGTGATCACTCATTATAATGACGTTGTTCTTGCTCATTTGATGAGTTTGAGGCTTTGAAAAAGTGCTATTGTCATAATTAAGCACAATCTGTTTATTCTATTTCTTTTGTAGGTTCAGTATTTATAAAGCCTTGGGTACTGCAAATTGGTTGTAAAAGCAGACAAAGAGTCCTCTCAGCACATATAGATAAAAGCCAGAAAGTTTTGGTGAAAGATCCAAATCATCATAAAATTCATAGTGTCAATATAACCTCCCTTTAATCGGTCTTCAAACCATTCAGGTGAAAAACACATTTCATGTGCAGAGGTTAAATGGTCAGTTGTGATCAATACTCTCTGCCCTGCAATCAAAAATGTCATAAAGAGTCAGACGCAGAGAGGTCTCATCTCATGAATCGATTACTCTAGGCTTTGATATTTCAGGGAGCAACACGGCTATCAATAGTGTGTTGTAAATATATGTTTTATATATTCTCAGAGGGGAGGATTTTCCTATACTCTCCTCAATATTTATTTGTTTGTGAAGAAGGACAAGAACAAGAAAAACAACAACAACAACAAATGTGTAGTATACACAGGACAGTAGAGTTTTCCCTTTTCTAACAGGAGAAAAAGATTCATCAAGATAATAATCAGTTTGACCACAAAAATAATTCACAAATAGCACGAAACACATTGTACAACTGAGGCTGATGGGACTGCCATCACTTTTGCAGATTTGATGATGAACCAAAATGTTCAAATTTGTACCTGATTATGGCAGTGGTGGAAAAGTTAAGGGATCACCAAAATTATTACGGTTCATCCCGAGAAAATACGAACTTCTGTCAACACTCAATTTCACAAATGTCAACCTCACGGTGGTGATAGAGGAAAGGTCAGGGGGTCACCAAAGTTGGAGGGATTTATTGTCTGGGGACAATAAATATCTGTACAAAATTGCAGGGCAATGAATGTAATAGTTTCAGTCTGGATCAAAGACTGGCCAAAAGACCAACATTGCTGCTACCCCTAGAGCCGCTAGCATGACTAAAAATAAATTAAATAAGCTGTCCACGTTCTCTCACAAAACACTCTTGTCGGTTTTTAGCTGATCCCTCAACTTTTAAACCACATGCTCTCCTTTGATCTACTGTGGCAGACAATAGAAAGACATATTGAACTGATGAAAGGACTACAGGCTGGTGATGTCTTTATTACACTTCTCGCAAGAGGAACTTAACCGTGCCAGACAGCTCCATTTCACCATCTATCCCAACCTTATTGCACCTCAGTGTCCCTGCAGTTATATGAAGATCACTGCTGCCATTATTAATCTGCCCCCCACCCCCCCTTGACATTTGCTGTTGTGTTCATGCCATAATTCAGCCCTTGACTGGATGTGAGGTCTTTCATGCTCTGTTTATAAGCTGCTGCACTCCAGACTGTGTCAGGGGACTTACAGTTTTATATCTGTGTTGTGTCTATCAATAAGAGTTCTGCTTAATTTTCCAAGATATTATACTGCAGAAATCCACACCTTGGCTTTAACAAATTAACTTATGATGGCTAATGTTGACAAGCTTAACATATACTCTATGTTGGTTTACTAGCATTAATGTGTGCTTCTGTTATACTACATTTGAACATGTCACAGATGAACACGATGTGTGACTCAAGATAAGGGATATGAAGACAAATTCAATGTACCATGATGCTGTAATTACAATTTAAGGCCACAGTGGCCGCTGTTGCGCTTGTGCCCTGCTCCCATCTTCATTTTTCTGCCAGTCAGTGAGATTATAGCGACAGAGTGTGGGGAGTGAAAAGAACAGACATTCCTTACTCTGACTAAAATTTATGGCATTATTGTCATGGGACAGGCGAGGATGATCCATCTGAAGTGTGTTAATTGTGTCTGAATTAATTTGAGGTTACAACTCTACCACAGGAAAATTACAAAAAGTTGCATATTTCACACTTTTCCAGTGTTTTATTTGAAGTTTTGATATCCTTAGGAAGATGCATTTGTGGTTTTAAGTACCAAAAACGATCTCAATATAGTGTAGCACCGCTCCACTCTATATGGTGCTCAAGTGGCTTTACTCACATTAGGCTGGGGTGATGAAGTGTTTGGGTTTGATTTCTTCAGCTACCACGAAGGCTTACCTGTTTTGAGTGAACTGATTAATGCTCTACTAATGATTACAGAACCTGTCAATCTTAGCAGTATATATATATATATATGTATATATATATATATATTTGTTCACTTTGGTTTGTCTATATTTTAAATGATTAGAATGAAAAGGAACAGATGTTTACTGTCAGTATTTTTGAGTATATAAAAAATATCAACCAATACAACTGAGATAAATCAAAACCCATAGTAAGACTAATTAGACCACTTTAAAATAACAACCAATAACTTACAAAATAATATTAAACCAAAACTGACATATATACCAAGATATCTAAACACAAAATGTCTTGTCTGTGGCAATTTACTTATTCCTCCATGACACATTAACATCAGATACTTAATAAAACTGTACAGTGGGCCCACACACACTTACACACACCAAACACAAAACGTTGCAGGCCCGTGTGATCCTCATCAGGGCAACACACAGAAAGTTCAACTCACAGTTTTGGCGGCAGTCCTTGAGGAACAGGTCCAGCTCCGATGAGAGAAGCTCGATGGCAGTGGTGATCCCTCCTCGGGATGAACACCACCCGCTTTTTCCGATCAACAGTGACGTCCTCTGTGCTTGTAGACTGTAGTTGCTCAGCCACACTCAAAGTTTATTGTCCGATCAGCAATGGTGTCCTCGGACCTTACAACTAGTAAACTTTAGGTGCTATACACCGACACACTACGAGAGTCCTGCCCGGTTAGCAATGGCGTCCTCTGGTCCAGCGGCACGCCGCCTTCAGCTTAGCACAGACACACTCGTACAACGTGTTACTCGAACCGTGATTAAGCAAAATCACAGCTGTCTACTGTTTTTCTTCTGTTTACAAACACTTTATCCAGCTGTTTTTAGCTAGCGATTTGTCAGTATTTCTACCCTCCCGTCTTCTCTCTGTAGTTCCGGGTTTTGTTTTCACCCCGCCCTCTTCCACACCTCTGACCAATTACCACAGGTGACACAGACTGATACCTGCGAAAACCAATCAGAGTAACTGAAACTAAAGACACAACTGTTGTTTGTTTTTTTTTAGTTTACCAAAGTTTGCTGCCCATATTGTTTAGAATTGTTATTTTTAACTTGTTTTGTTTGTTTGTTTTTGGTTGTATTTACATCATATTTGCTTGACTACTTTATCTTAACCTCTCCGTACACAATTTTTCTTTTTATTAAACTAAATTATTCTCAGTTTAATTGCTTTACAGAATTCATGACAATGCCATCTAACTTTATTAGGAACCGACATGTTTTAATCCCTTACTTGATCATTGACCTGTTAAGCTTGTTGTGAAAAATAAGATCTGCAGGAACTGTAGCCCTATGAAAACCTGTTTATGACATTATGATTATTATGAAATTGTGAGGCTGCTCTTCAGCACAGTTTTGAACTGATGGCTAAATTTAGCATGCTAACATGATTATTTGGATAATTTTAACATCCTAATGTTTAGCAGGTATAATGTTTATCATCTTCACTTTCTTAGTTTATTGTGTTAGCATGCTAATATTTATAGCATTAAGTACAAAGTGCAGCTGAGGTGGATGGGAATGTCAATTGCAGATATTTTGTCATAAAACAGATGAAAATTCAGATGATCACAATGTGAAAATTTAATGATGAGACATTCAATACTTGACACATTTCAATTTTAATTACAAAAGTCCACTTCATGGTGGCTCGAGAGGAAACGTTAGGTAAACAAAGTCAGTAGTATTCATCTTTTTGGGACCATGAATGTCTGAAAAAACATGAGTGAAGTAAAACTGGAGTTATGTGTCACAGACCATAAACATAATATAATTCATCATAGTGCCAAATCCAATATGAACTGAATGAGATTCTTTAGGAAAGTCCCTGAAGTAAACACATTTTAGGGGTCAAATCAGGACCCACAGCAATATCCCTTTACCCTATCCCTTAAACATTAATGATGAGTGCCACTGAGTGAAATGAACCTCTGAAGTGATAAAGGCTCCAGCGGGATCATGGGTAGTGAGAGCTGAACCCTCAGCTGGCTTGGCCTTGGACTTGGCAGCAGCCTCCCACTGTCGCTGGGGGCAGATGGTCTCTCTCTCAGAGTCAGGCGTCAGCTGTTCACATGAGCACAGACGAGTGCGTCGGACTCTGAGTCTCACCACACAGACTCCTGACAAACTCCTGACAGCTCGTTCCCTGTTGGGTTCACTGGAAACTATCAATGAAGACACTTTTCTTCCACTGGTAAAGCTCCTATTTACTGTGTTGGAGCTATGCCTCACACCAGGTAGGCAACCAAAATATTATTTCTTAATTTCCTGTTTTCAAATGTCAGACATATTTGTTATATTCTATCTTTTGTTAAGAAGTTCTTTGTAGTTGTTGTTCTTGTAGATGATGATACTGCCACTTATTGCAGAATAAAGTAACTGAAATAACATTTTTCATGACAGAATTTCACAAAAACATAAAAATAATAAAAATAATAATAAAATAAAGTAGCTTTTCATCCTCCACTGAGCGTTCATTTTTAGTTAGAAACTTTAGAAAGTGTAAGTGTTTTTGTTGTTTCACACTCACCTTTACAAAAGGACACAGATATGGCATAAGCAGACAGGAGGATCACTCACCTGCTAAAGCTCCTCTAAGTCTATTTGCTGACCGTGGTATCTGCCTGAACAGCTTATAAGGTCCTTACAGTAATGCAAACTGTAGCTGTAGCTAGACAGTCGTGAGCTAAGACAAGAGGAGTTTGTAAACATGATTCATGCCTTTACACAGTAAGAGTTTTTTGGTCTACTTGAGTTAAAAAATATATAGTTTAAATTGATTTATTTCAGTTTGTAAGTGATGCAAGAAACTACGTACATTTACTTGTACTTAACAATTTAAAGTATTTCCATTTTCTGCTAATTTATTCTTCGAATCTATTATGGTTTAAAGGCAAATATTGTACATTTTACTGCACTACATTAATTTGATAACGTTAGTTTCTTTGCAGATTCAAATTAATAATACAAAATTAGTCAATAAATATAAATAATATATGATGTTTTATTACAGTTTAAAATGAGATGAGACTTTAGTGATCCCGGGGGAAATTGACAAGATCCAGAAGTATATAAAGTAATTAAAATCACCTCCACCTTTACCACCTCTAACATTCAAGTGATGTACTCTAAATGCATCAGTAACTATATTCCAATAATATAATATGGATTATTTATTTTTGGTACTTTAAGTATATTATGATGCTAATACTTTTGTACTTTTTCTTACATACATTTTTTAATGTATGGCTTTTATACAGAGTGTAAGAGAGTATTTCTACACTGTATTATTGCTACGTTTACTTGAGTAAAAGATGAGGACTTTTTCCATCATTGGTCATTATTGTCTCTACTAGGCGTTAGAATATTTTGCAATACTGTTGAGCTTCTTGCTTTGGTTATGTTGTTCAGTAAACAGTGTACCTAACCACATTCCCAGAACAATACGTCTGTATGACGGTGGTACTAAGCCACCAGGTCATTTCCTTATCTGCATCCTGCTCTTGAACAAAAGAACCAGGAAAGAGAAACTCAGAGGGGAACCCCAGTTTCCTTCACTGGTTCCTGAACAGATGTTTGCACGTGGGAAAGAGCTATAACCTCTCATATAGTCACATAAATAATGTTTCATTTGGAAGCATAATGATGTGTCATATTGAATTTAAGCAATACTTTGACAGGGTTTCCTCCCTGGATGGTCATAAGACTTGATGATTAATAACTCTCGAGTTAGCGGCCAGGAAAAACCAGAGCTGAATTCATGTATGTCGTTGCCACAGAGCTGAAAACACGCTCTTCTTTTTGCAGGTGCGCAGCAGGAAACTGTTTCGTGCAAGTTCTTCGTTCAGGAGTTTCCTCTTTCCCTGGATGCCACAAGCAGGACGCTGCAGTTTCCCCTCTTCAATGAACAAAGCGGATTTGCGTCCAGACCAGCCGCACAGCAACAGAAGAAATAATCCACCAAGATGGAAGTCACTTCAGTCTACGTTACTGAGGGGCCAGGTGTCGACTTAGCTGAAGTGGACATATGCACGCTTGAGATTAATATGAAGTATGAGGTCATCCCATCCATTGTCTGCTCTGTTTGCCTTTCGTTCGGCCTCATCTACTGCTTTTTCGGTATGTAGCCGTGACACCAGAGCTAAAATTTGGGATATCAAGGTAGAGACGGTAGTTTTTCAAAGCAGTGTACTCGTCCTTTAAAGTCACATCTCACTGACCGGCCCCACTGTTTTCATACTCTACATGTTTAATAAGCTCACCTGATAGCTTAAACCCTGTGTGGCAGGTGTCTGCAGGCTGCCAGGGGTTTAGGGTGGATAAGCCCAAAGCTGGAAGAGGCAGATGGGTCCTTCATCTGAGTGTGACAGAGGCAGAGTATATGAAGTGTCACCTGTTGCACTGATTGACATCATTGACTCATTGGTGCCATAGCATTAATCCTGACAAAAGTTCATGTGGGCCTTGGCAGGGATTTTGGATTTTTCTCAACTGCTTCTATGTTGCAGGTAGCAGCAGTCTATAGAGCTGTATGTTGAGCTACAGCTACAAGTTCAACATGTGTTTTCACTGTGAAAATATGTGAACACAAATCCAATAAACATAAACTAGGAGCGTGACTGGGAGTTGCGTGTCCTGTGGACCTGCTCCCCTGAAACATGTGACATTATGCAAACACTCGCTGCAAAAGTCAGTGTGTTCCCAGAATGTCTTACAGAGTAAATCAGGGTTAGGTTTGCCTGTCAGGAAGTTTTCTGGATGTAAATAATTAATAATTGGCAGGAGAACAGCAGTTGCAGTGGTGCAGGTGGAGGAAGTATTGCCAGATTAGTGTTTCCTTCACGTAATTTGTGACCAAGAAGATGAAGAAAAAGCAAAGAGAGGAGCTCTGAGTTGTGATTTTTACTTTTGAGAGAGTACTTTTATTGCTGGCATCAAAAAATGTTAATGACAGATGTTGGAGCTGGACATGGACACTGAAACAAATTTGCTTCCAAAATGTATTTCAGTAATCTCTGACCCACAGTGATCAGCAGTGTCGTCCAAGCAGCTCCCATTGTTGTCGCTCAAAAGACCTCAGTGTTTGAGCCTTTGGGTCTATAGGGAGTCTGATGTTCAGAATCTGTGCCACGTTTCTAGCAAATGCATTATCCAAACAAAAGAACAGGCTGAACTTTTGCCCTTTAGCGTCTGATTAGAACAAAAATGTCGAAATGAACTTGTTTATTTTCAGCAGACTGCCTCTCTAGGTTATATCATAAATTGTTAAAGTACACAGTATGCTGTGGGCTATGTTGCATTTACAGTTTTAAAATTTTAAAATTGCTTTGGCTAAAAGCAAAACTCTGGTAATTTCCTCAAAGATAATATAAATAGTAATGAGGAAAAAATTCTGTATTTTATTTACTGAATATGCTGCACTACTGTAAATACAGATCATGTAGTCTACACTCTGACTGACATTCATACAAGACAGAAGTTTATTTTGCTCATTATCAACCACGAAGTTTGTTTTTATTTTGAACACAAAACCTCAGATATTTATTTCACTTGTAAGTGTAGTTGAAGTTGGAATAAGGAGAAATGCTTGCGAACTCATGTTGCATTGATTCAGTGGATATGAAGTGGCTTGATTTTCAGAATGAGCGTGTGATTTTGTGTTTAAAAGTGAGAATTTTTGCTCTTTGTATTAAGGTCTGAGGCAAAGCAGCTGTGAAATACTGCAGCTCACTTTGGATTTGTATACACGGATGAGTAGCTGACCTTTTCTTTAATCGAATTTTCCAGGATACCGCTGCTTCAAGATGGTCATGTTCTTCTCGGGCTTCATGTCTGGCACGGCAGCCGTGCTCCTGTTGTACCACAATGAGCCTGTGTTGGACGTCCAGCTGGGGACGGAGACCAAGGCGGGGATCGGCCTCGGCGTGGGTGTGCTCTGCGGGCTGATGACAATGCTGGTGTCGACGATGGGACTCCTCCTCAGTGGCCTGCAGCTGGGGACCCTGCTCTCCCTCGCCGTCCTGGTGGTAATCGGACAGTTTCACAGCCTTACTCCCGTGTGGGTGCCTCTCAGTACCGTGCTGGCTGCCGGCATCATCACTACTGTCCTCACTCTTCAGTGGCAGAAACTGTTCAGCATCTTCTACACATCTGTGTTTGGAGCAACCACTGTGATGCTGTGTGTGGATTACCTGATGGCGACGTTCGTGCTGCCAGATCAGGTGTACGATATGTTTTGTCAAGTTGCCCCTCGTCCACTGTGCTGGTTCAACTGGGCAATCACTGGAATTTGTCCGACTTTGACTCTTATAGGCGTGTTAGTGCAGTGGAGGTTTACTGCCAAAGGAGTATCACACACAGAAGGTGAGTTCAACTCCACCTGCACAGCCACTTCAGGCTGTTTTCATTTTAAATATGCCATCCTCCTTCTGTGATGTTATATACTCATGATTTCCTGCCCTTTGCGTGCCTCCCAGCTGCACACAAAAAACTGAAGAAACATGGCAAGAAGCAGAAATACAGAGAGTCCAGGAGAAGACCTCAATCACACCGTCGGCGCAGGCCTCCACCCCTGAAACGATACGCCGGAGACGTCCTGGCGCCGGTCAGTGGCTGAGATTAACTGAGATTAAAATACGTCATCCAGCTTCAGCTTTCATTTCTTCAAAGAGGCAAATTCTACCATGACAATAAACGTTTTTACTCATGTAAAAATGTGTGAATAGAATCAGCAAAATGTAGTTAAACTATTAAGTAAAAGTACTCAAAATGGAAAAAAATTACCACATCTATATTATATTAGTGTATTAATATTACTGATGCATTAATGAAGGGCTGCCAATAATCTGACAGTGAATCTGCCAATGAATTTGTCTCACAGTCAAAACCTAAATCTGTTTACTCTCATGTATGAGAAAGAAGCTGCTACAAATCCACAGGTTTAAGAACCAACAAATGTTCATCTTTTTATAATTACAATTATTTGATTATCATGATAGATGCAGGTTAATTTTTTTGTCAATTGATCCATTAACAGACTACACGCTGCACCTCTACATTAATGTGTAGTAGGAACTATTTTATATGCTGGTTGGGACTTTAAGGACTTTTATCATGTTATGTATGTAAAATCTTAATCTGCAAAGTAACATGCAACTGAAACTGTCAAACAAATGTAGTGGTGTAAAAAGTCCAGTATTTCCCTCCTACATGTTGAAGTGCAAGGCAGCATAAATTAAAAATAATACCTCAAAATAAATACAGCACTTGAGTAAATTATGTAAATTGTCATTATGTAAAATGACAGCGGATGGTCAGTGCAATAACCATGCGTCTTCTTCCTGTTTGCCTTTCAGAGTTACCTCCAGAGCCTTAAGGAGCGCCAGATGGGAACAGGCTCCTCCACCAGCAGCGTCAGCACTATCACACATGCTCTAATTGACTTTGACTTTGAGACAGGCTCCATGGTGCCTCTGACTGCCGCCTCCCCTGTTTTTACAGTCTGAAAGAAACACAGCATCAATTATTTGTGAACTACATACATCTAAAGGAATCCATTACATTTTATCTGAGTCTGTGAACTGCTCACTTCCACGGAAACAATTCAACAATTCAACTGCTGCCGTGAATCCACTGCAACCGGCTTCGCCAGATAATCATCAACATGCACACACAGTGTGATCGGAGATGCTTGGAGATCATCCTCTGTATGATGACAAGAAGAAATAAGGCAACGTGTACAGTCGTCAGACTCATGATCACAACATCCTTTAAATGTTTTATCTCACAGACACTTTGTGTTCAACTGTTTTTTCCACACAATTGCATAACAACGTTATATTCTCCAAATACTATGACATTCTCTTGGAAGCTGTTCATGCCTTTGGATACAAACATAGACCTAAAGTGTGTGTCTAGATTAGTTTGGGTTTGAAGTTCATGTATTAAGGTTACAAGCAGTGAATTCATACCAGCACATGCAATAAAGGGAAGGACATGCATCAGAAAAATGGGGAATGCTGGACAATAAACCAATAAACCACTGATTTGACAGCAGCAGCTCAGGTTGATAATATGTGTTTTTTGGAGTATTGTCTTGTGTTAAAGCAAAGCTATGTATAAAACAGCCACTGTGGGCAAAGGTGGCGATTATGAGATAATTGTAAATATTATAAGTAGCAAAATAGCAAAAGCAAAGAGGAGTCATTACATCAGTAAACTCACTCAGTAATGTCAGTTTCACAGACTACTGCTCAAACCAGACCAAGTAAGACTGTGGGAAGAAAAGCTGAACTGATCAGTTGTCTGTTTTATTGTTTATGAATTCAACATTTTACTTGTAAGAGGGAGAATGTATTATTTCATCTTTCCAACATTTACAGTCTCGTTTTAAAGGTACAGACATTTTTTTAAGTTACATCCGTTTTACTATATAAAAAATATTTTGCCATAGAAATGAGTCATTTCCATGAAAATGTCTTTTCAATTTTAACTAAAAAACGGCCATAAAAGTGAAGGTACAACACAGTTTATACTGCATTGTACCCAGGTTGCAGTTACTGCACTGTGACTCCAGTTGGAGAGCAGTAAACAGTAAACAGGCTCTTGACAGAACAGTGTAATAGACAGAAGCCTATAAGTTGTTGATCCTCAATTTTATTGCTTGATTATTATTAATTATTAATAACTATCACTGACCTTACATCAAACCCACAAAAGCCTGTTAAGATTCTAATGCTACGCTCTGTTCGGACAATCAGAGGAGAAAACACTGTGTCTCTTGTATATTCAAGCTTATGGGCTAGTTCACTAAATTCATGTTTAATTAAATACATTTCGAACATGTGATTTAAAGCTAGCAAATATAAAATAACATGAATTCCACCAGAATGGGAGGCTATCTCACCAGTTAGCCGTAACTAGGCAGATTGCAGTTACTGCAGTGAGGTTCTTACCTCTGTTTCCATGCTACTCCTGTTGGTGTGGTTAAGTTACCTTTTAAATCACATACTTAAATCTATTAAATTGTAAATGTATTATATTGATTTCAATAGAAGTAATAAGATTACTCAAAAAGAGCCAAACACAAACACTTGATTCCTAGCTGTGGACTGTAAATAATAATCAGAAATAGAAATCAGAAATAATAATCTGTTAATTCTGTTTATCTGAGCAGTCTGTCAAGATTATCCAAAGGCACAGTTCTGTATTTGCATTTTTTTAGTAACTGTGTGGGTTCAATGGTAGTGATTTCTGTTGGGTAAAATAATCAGCCTAGACACACAGATTACAATCTCTCTATCTGTTTTGCAGTTTTTGTCATCCAGCCTGAAAACTTAAAACCCTTTTTTCTCAACATCATTGCTTCAGTGGTTGTTGCTCTGTGTCCGCAGGGCAGTGTAGTGGATCAGTAGATAACAAAATCCAATCTTATTGAATCACACACCACAAGGTCTAAGTGTCTTTTCCCATTTCATGTCTGCTAATATCAGCTTTTTGAATAATAATACCCTATTGCCACAAAAAAGAAACATCACATCGCAAATATTTATTATTTTGTTGAATTCATGCCCATTTACCAAAACTAATAATAGCCTAAAGCTCTCATTCCTCACACAGCATGCTGAACACTTTGAAAGCATTTGCCAGGCTCCAAGTAAATGAGCATGTCTCCCTGGTTTCACGCTGACTCAGCAGGATAAGGTTTGTGTTGAATCCCTGGTGGCCTCTGGTGGTTCAGTCGTCACACTGCATCCAGTGTGAGGCGATGTCCAGAGGATAGGCCTTCTCCATCACTTGGTGGTTCTGGTTTACATGCCAGTACTCAGAGCCTTTGAACATGTATATATGACCGTTTGTCCACGTTAATGCAGCGTCAGAATTGCTGGGTGCCCCGTAGAAGAGTTGCCCAGTAGGTTTGGGATATGAAGTGAAGTCTGTTGGACCAATCTCATCCCACTGCCAGTATCCAGATCCCTAACATGAGAGGTGCATTATTCTCCTGAAGCGGGATATTCAACAAGAAACACATGTCACAAAATAAATTGAAGCATATCTTTAGCACTTACTTTGAAAAATAGCAATTTTTTGTTCTTATTGAAGTACAAGGCTGAGTCAATATTTGCAGGGATATTGGTCAAGCGTTTGGGGAAGCCGTGGTCAAGTTTGAAGTCTGTGTATCTCCATACTTTGTCATCTGTGAAAGGATATTTAGAAGAAAAATTATTAATAGATTATTACTGATCCTGCCAGCATTGTACATCATGCCCCTGTGAGAAATTTTGAAACTATGAAATTGAATCCACCTTTCAGAAAGTAAGACTTGCCAGTCCGCTGAGAGTGAACAGCTGCATTGAGGCTCCCTGGCAGCTCCTTCCACAGCACAGAGATCTTAATGGGAGAGTTGTAGCCAGAGCTGGACACTGTCCACACATACTGACCACTGAAAACATATGTCTTATGCAAAGGACCTATATGAGAACACAGTGCAGGAGAAAAAAATATCTGTAGATACATTTCCCTGTAGGGGGAAGTTAGTGAACTAATATCTTTTGTTACAGAACATGCAGAGACATATTTACCCAACATAACTGCATCCAGTGCGGCTTTACAAGGATCTGCAATAACTCCTCCTGGCACTGACTGACCTGGATTTCTGGATGGAAGACTATTCTTTGGCTTTCCTGAAAAGAGACAATACTGCACATTGCATTACTTATACTTCAAAGAGCATGCATATATTAGCCATGTAATGCTATAATGACATCACCATATAATGCCTGGATCCCTCGTATGTCATCTGGATGCAGCTTAAAGTCTGAGCGGTATCCGTTGTATACAGGTCCCATGAGTGCACTGTAGTATTGAGAGTGGCCCAGGCCAAGAGCATGGCCAATCTCATGAGCTGCAACAATCCTCAGGTTGGAGCCCTGGCTCTTCCCTTCTGTCCACAGCTCGTCTTCGTCAAAGTGCACAATGCCTGATTCGGGGGCGTCGGCGTGGGCTAGAACACGGCCTGAGGATAAAGCAAGAACTCAAACACTAGAACATCTCATTTACACCTGCCATTGTTTTATGTGTCACTGAGATCACAAAACTTTTCACAAACATCCGGTGATCCCATCAAGTTCGTTCAATTTTAATGTCAGTTTTTATATTAAGGAAATCGCTCCTACCTCGCCCATCAAAGGGAACTGGACATGTCTTATCTTTTCTGTGAAAGGAGATTTTGATGTCTGCTCTTCCGTGTTGCAGCTCCCTAAACTTTAAAGGCGACACAGCACTCCAGTACTTAAATGCATTCTGGATGGCCAAGCGGGTCTTTCCCTGACCCAAATCAGGAGTGTAATTATAGATGCGGTAGGTCAGCATCTTCTTACGCCAGTAACCTGTGTAATTAGGAAACACTGGAGTCACTTTTTATACACGTTATATACGTTATGCACTTTATCAAGAATCTAAACATGTCATTTGAAGGCAGTTACTCACCCATGACTCGATATTTGAGAGACTTGTTGTTGAAAGAGTCCTGTAGGCCACACCGAGGTTTGTTCATCATTGCCAGTGTGGCTGAATCTAGTTTCCCTGATATTTGCAGGTTTGTCACTTTCTGAAAGATTCTGACATAGAAAGGAAATGTTGAGACATTTGTACTGATTCAAATATGCAAATAAACCTGGGATACAGGTCAAAACAGATCAAAACATGTTAATCTACCTCTGCAAAGTAGAAAAATGGATGAAAGACGGTCACCTTGTTGCTTCAGCTATTTCCTCAGGTGGATGGTTTTGGCCTTTACCGTCCAGTGGGATGTGTAGATAACCATACGTCCTTAAATACGCCTAGATACAAGATACAGATATAAACGGGACTTAAATGTTGTAATTAATGAGCTACTTTTAACAACTTGTTTTTATCTACACAAATGCAACCTCAATAGATTAAGAATATGTTTTATATATCAAATCTTAATGTATAAAGCATTTAGTGACTATATCTGTCAAAAAGGTTGAGTGCAGAAAGCCATTTTATTGATCTCTACTCAAGATATCAAAGCTCAGAGGAGTGAAATGAAACAAACAAGATCACAGTCATTTATAATGGCTAACAATTGAATAACCTTTTTCCTCTCCGTAAAACAAACAGTATTGACAATATTATTTAGTTTTCTGTTGCCCGAATGCACCATCAATATTTGATTTGATTATATAGCCTATAATCACAATCAGTTAACAATTAGCTATAAACAATTAAAATCCAGTTGCTGTGGAAATTGTCGTACAAGCAAAATTAGATGAAGTTTCCATGTAAATCTTTCTCTGCTGAATGATAAACTTCTTAAAAGTCTTAAACTCAGAGACTTATATTTTTACATTAATACTTTAAGTGATGTTTCAGGATCTCCACTTTTCTGCATTTTCTTACCTGAGCTTCTGTCAGTTCCTCTCTGCTCAGGGCAACAGATGAAGCTGTTGTCATCAAAACAAGAAGCACCATCAACTCCAGTCTATATCCCATTTTCCAGTATCTGAGAAATACAAACTTTTCCCGACTGGATTCCAACACAGAAATTTGATTTTTTCAACTGATAATCAAAATTACTGCAGTTCCTCCATATACGTCCATCCTCTGTGTATTAGTTCTTCTTGGGGTCCCTGTATCAGAGCTGAAGCTGGTGTCCTGGTTTAGGGTTTCAGTTTTTATACCATCAAGTGTCTGTTCAGGACCTGCCCTCAAAACCACATAATAAACCTTTACAAGGAATGTGTGGACAACAAAAACCAATACATATTTCAGACACTAACATCACGATCACGCCTCCTTACACCATCATTTAAAGCCATTTGTCTCCAAGTGTTGTAAGAATAACTTCCGAGTAATGTTGTTTACGTCAAAGGAAGCAAATAAATGAAGGATCAGCTCTGTTAAACAGATTAACTGCCCACCATCAATTAAAGGTGATGTCTTATGTCATTGTGGTGGAAAAAACTTCAATTAATCTGCAATACTTTGGAAGTGAATTATTTTCCAGACAGGAAACAGATGTATCAGAACTGCTGTTACTCATTTATGATTTATTTTTGTGAAACATGTTCCACATAAATCTGAACATTTTTGACTTCATGGTTGCAGCTTTGTGAAGAAAACAACTAACCACACTTCCTCCATGAGACAACAGTTAATTATATTGTTCTGAAGGCAGGAGCCCATTCATGGAGAGACAATGACGCCCCCGTGTAACCATTGCTTCGAATCATCTTCTGAATGGAGACAGAGTACGCCTCCTGTTCTGCTTTAACATTGTGGAATACAGCTCGTAAACACTGAGCGGACAGACGGGAAAGACCCTCGGCTCACACACGTTTAAGACAATTACGGTTACTAAATTTAACAACAGTCCCAGATTTCTCACCAGTAGAGGGCGTGTTTTATCTGTTATCTCTTAACCAATGAGTGGATTTCCTGCCCTGGGTTCTGCCTCTCAGGTGTAGCACAAACATTTCTTCCTTTGCAAACATAAACTGAATTGATTGTAATAGATTGACTGAGCAGAACAAAACCTTAAGCTGTGCCCCAGTTCCCTACTACACACTAATTACAAGCAGGTTTTCAGTATGTAGTGTGTTCACACTGGAAAAGTGGCAAAATGACAGACGCAATACTGCAAAAAACAAATTCACTGTATAAATACACAATGCTAAAATTAGCTTTTTTGGGGGATCTTTGAGTTTGCTGATTTTTTGAGTGGTTGAAATTAAAATTATTGCATGTTGAAGCGGCTGTAGAAAGACAAAAATATATATTTTTGGAAATCTATTTTGCGTGTATTGAAGTGTAAATGGCAGTGGTTTAGTCTAAAGTCACAGTTTGACATCCATGTGTACATGTAGCCTATATTATAAAAATTTCCTCTTAGTATAAAACAGTAAAGTATGATTTCACTTACACAGACTGCAAAAAACAGCATACACTATAATGATCAGTATATACATTAGAGTTAAAAGGACACACACTTACAACCAGTGTCGCGTTTAAAAGACGTGGGTGTTTACCAAGCAGGGAGCGTCAAACAAAACTAACTACTGACTTGTTTTATGGAAAATGTAGGACCTAGTGTTTTGGGGTGTAACCCCAACTCTAAATCAAGGTATCTCAGGCTCCACATGTTAACTATTCTATTTATGATCTATTCTGATTTTTGTCAGCTCCCCAACTTTATGAATATGCAACAGCAATATGGTAAAGTGCCTCTTTAAGTGGTGCCTGACAGGCTTAACTCAGGGCAATAAAATCTTTCTATTGTCTATTTGTTTCTACTGAAGATAAATCATTAAGACAGGTCACAAATGCATAGTTTCAATTTCTGGAAAACAATTAGTCATCTCCCAAAACAGCTGGTCACTGTAGTTTTCACTACACTCTACTCAAATAAGAGGATACAGCACGTTTCTTGGGGACTACTTTCAGCCACGGATTAATACACATTTGGTGTTCTAGTGAGTACTTACAGAAGCAACATGGTGTATGTAAGATCAAGTCAGTAACTGCGGTGCCCGTGTTTATCAGGATAAATGTCATTCGGTGCAACAGTGTGGGTCATTGATGTGTTTTTAATAATTTTTGGATCACAGTGCAACTCTATGGCACAAAGGAAGAAGCTCTATCAGGCTTTGGCTGCACAGACAATACTTGTTGGCAGGATCAATTCATTGGTGGTTTTGGTCTTTTTATGGAATCTGTTGACAACAAGTAAAATATACAATATCACCAGTCTCATCCTATTAGTGTACAGCTTGTTTCCAAAATACCCAATGACACCAAAATATAGTTTTTCTACAAATATACGTCCTGCCTTCCAAAATAAATCCCCAGTTATTCATGTAACTCTACTCCTAAAAAGCAATATGAGATAAACATTTTACGCAGAATGTAACTTTAATTAATGTAATGACTGTATAGAGTCGACATTAGTGTGACCACAAGAAGCCATCCAATCATTGACAAATGTTAAAGCAGAAAGGTCAACAAACTGTACTCGCTTCAACAGAAAATGTTTTTTATATATTTTATGTATAAGTGATACCTGATGCTATGAAAGGTACAAAATGGAAAAGACAGACATGCACGAAACAATTCACAATGAGTTCTTTAAAAGATTTAGAAATGAATGGCCTGCCCAATACAAGTATATGAGCAGGAGTCATGATGTTATGTAGAGGTCTGAATCTAGAAAACAGGCTGGTCAGTTCTGAAGATGTGGTGCCTGCTATGACATCCTGTCGTTCTCTGTTTGGAAGGCGCTGGGACTGTGTTCACTTCCAAAGTTCATAATGAATATCAAATAGGTAGAATATGTTTAATGGAAGCTATGACCACAAAGCTGCAAAGGTCCCTTCCCTGTGTTTCAGTGTGTAGTTTGTATGTTCAGTCTGTCTGACTCCTCTGTCCTTTATTGCTTCAAGAATCACGTTCGAGCTGCTGTAACTCATCTTGTAAGGCCTTCGCCCGACCCAGCTTTTCCGACTGATCCTTTGTCAGCTGTTTTATTTCCCCTGAGTCCACTTTCTGCTGCAGGTCCTCAACTTGTCGAAGCTTCTTTTTCAGGTTTTTGATCTTCTTGGCCTTTTCAGCTGCTGCTGCTGAGTCGTCATCGGGAGGTGAGGCAGAAGCTGGCGCTGCCGTCTTGTTCGCGGACTCACCACCCTCTGAGATGGACACATTCTCCACGGCATCGCTCACCGATTCTACATCTGCATCTCCATCCTGGCCCTGTTGCTGCTGCTGTTTTCGTTTTTCTTTACGCTTCATGTTGCGTTTGGCCGATTTTGAGAGACTGGCTCCCTCACTGTCTACACAACCGGGGATCTTCTGCTGCTGCTGCTGCTGCTGCTGCTTTGGTGGAGCTGCCTCAGACGGGCTCAGGCCAGGTGGCAGGTCTGGTTTGCTCTTGAAAAACTTCACATACTTGTTTTCATAGCTAAAACCAGCAAGAAAGACAAACTGGGTAAGAGGATAAAAATGACAAATGTTCCACTTTACTCAAATGTAAAAGTATGTAAATGAATATTGGACAATTGTAATCGATCAGAGATACTTGTTGCAATCCTCTACTGATTTCTACGGTTGTAACTTAGTGTCATCATCGATTAATCAGTTATGTCTTCCATTAATCAATTAATCATTTAGTCCATAAAATGTCAAGAAAAATAGTGCAAGTTCTTCTTAGAACGTCCCACAGACCGAGGAGAAAATCTCAAATGTCATTTTCTGTTTGACCTTCAATCGAAATCCCAAGATATTCAGTTTATTATAATAGATGACAAAGAAAAGCATCAAATTCTTACATTAGAGAAGCTGGAATCAGCAAAAAAAAAAAAATTGGTATTTTTGCTTAAAAATGACCAAAAGAATTATTTCATAATCAAAATAGTTGCAGATCTATTTTCTGTCGATTGACTAATTGTTGTGTAGAGTGTGCTGTGCACGACTGTAGGGAAAGAAGAAGTGCACTTACACTGGGACTTCCTCCTGGGGGACATAACCGTCCTTCACCCGCCTCGGCTTTCTCCATGTTCCATCAGGTCGCTGAGTGGCAGCAATATATTTCCCTGAAGGACAGGTACAACGTTTTAAAGAGCACTAACATGTTCACATGAATAAAAACTTAAGATTTGAAGTTATTTTAAGGTATTTTGTCAACTGCGGGCCAGATTTGACTTCATGATAAATGATGAAAATAGCTCACTGGATCCATTTGGAGGTTTGTCAAACTGAGACATAACTGCAATATTCTCCTCCTCCATTATTGTTTTTCTGCAAACATATAAACCTATTTGAATATTAAAATATCCTGACAATAATTCTAATCATTTACATTTGTATATTCTTTTTCAGGTTGACAATGTAAAATCTGTCCTCGGACTACAGATTAAAAACGGCCGCTTTAACTGACTCTGGCCAATAAACAAATCAAATAACTGCTAATTACCACAAAAGTGTGTTGCTAATCATCAGCTGAAATTGCACTCAATGGCTCAAATGCAATTGCTCTCTGGGGGATGACCTCACTGAACATTACTATAGGAAGAGAGGATATTTCTGGTCAGCCTGAAACCAACACTCTTTAGTTTGACGGTTTTGAAAGTTTTACAGCTAAACTTTAGGCTCAAGTAAAACGCACACTGAGATAATAAGAGAGAATAACTAAGATATGGTGATGTACAGTAAGAGACATAATCATAAGTATCTGAACATTTCCACCTGATACAAGTAATAAGATTTCAAAATTTTAAAAAAGTACAATTTTAATGGACATTGTCCAATCACATAACTTTGCAACTCACAATGTCACATTAACATTGACCAAAAGCGGACGCAAGGCCAAAACCGCATTGCTAAAGTGCATTCATTTTTCATGTCAATGGAAATTTTTATATGGAGGATTTTTAGACATTTTTGGCATTTATTACAGATTTTACTGCAGAATACTGCACAATAATATGTGTATTTACTGCAGCACCTCTGAACAAGATTGTGCAGTTTTGAAGGGCTGCAACCACCAGATGTCACTGTGCATGCTGAGCTTAAAGCCCTGAAGCTTCAACCTGCAAGGCTTTATTTCTAGTTTGACAAGCTTAGTGTGTGTGTGATAACTTCCATTCCCTTGTAAACACACATTAAATCTAACACTGAATAAATGTCATCCAAAGCCCAAAAACCCAGGGCATGTAAAGGCAGAAGAACGAAACATTGTGTATTCGAGCTGGGAAATATTCCAATATACTATTGACAGTATTTTAAAGTAGGCATTATTTTTTGATGAAAATTGTAATACATTTACATAGTAAGGGTGGATGATGTGTCCATATATATACTGCGTTATGATTCATGTTGATACTATGATGTGATACAGGAATTTATCCATATCTCCCACTGCTACTTTACCTGGTCATATTCACTTAACTGTAGCTTTTCTTAACTTTTCTTACTGTTGTGGCTTGTGGATGAAGAGTAAATTCCTGACCAATACCTACTTGATCCTCATATAATAACCAACATTACTAGTTAATGTAAGTGTCTTGGTTTCTTTTTCTCTTTTTAGCGACCAAATAACCCTAAAAGTTACGCGAAGACCCAATTTTCACACAAAACTTTAGTCAATACAAAACAAAATAACTGTTTCTGTGAAAAGACATATCGCGATGGTTGTTTTTGTGTGTATACTTTGATCACAACATGTACTCAATTACAAGAGAAGAAGCTAATTAACGTTAGCTGCTGGCTAATGTGTCCATGTTAGGTCATTATACAAAAAAGTAATGTGGCTAATTAAAACTCTGTTAACCTTAAATATTCAAAAGTAATAAAGTAAATGTGTTCCTGCCAGCGGTGTACATATATATATAATACTATTTTCACACTGCTAAGTAAGGACGTGCGATAGCTACAAGCTAAGCTATAGAGGAGAGTATAACGTTAGCCAGTTCAGCTAAGATTAGCATCAGCTAGCTGCAAAACAGCGTCGTTAAACATGTTATCGCTGACGACCAAATGGAAAAGATAGACTTGGCCTCGATTGCACAATCTGTGTTTAATGAAGAGGGTTTTGTTTCATTTAGACAATGGTCTGGCACATGCAGCAGCCTTACCAGATTCATCTGTCACATACGGGGTTGCCATTTTGGAGTAACGTGCGGCTCCGCTCCCCTTAGTCGGACTATGTCCCCAAACGTCCCCCCGCTCACTTAGACCCGACACAGTAAAAACTACAGCTTTTTAAACATTTGCTTTAAACTTGTTTCTTCCCTCCACGTGAGATATGTCATGACAGCATCTACATACAGCTATTAAAGTGAATACCGTGGCCCTGGATGTCAAACAACGACCACGAAACTGTGCGTATAATTGAGCGGTACAGGATCACAAACCGAGCGAACTCTATTCTTCGACTTCGGAAATGACGACGTGGATCGTGGGTTGCCAGGTTTGGATGTTTAGCCGTTTTAATAAAAAAAAAAAAAAAAACGTCATGCGGTGGTGGTATCGGTAACAGGTATCGAATAATTTACTCAAGTAAAAGTAGCAATAGCACACTATAAGATTACTCAATTTACCAGTAAAAGTGATTAATTGCTAATTTTACTCAGAGAAGTACTAGCAACAAAATGTTTCAAACAAAAATATCAAAGTAAAAGTACTTATTATGCATAAGTAAAAAGTTACAGTTATAGTCCATCAATGATGGCCCATGTCAGTAATTAGATTATTGGATTGTTTCTATTTATGTATTAATATGTAAGTGGTACTTTAATGTTGTAGGTGGGGGCTGTGGCACAGACTCTTGGGTTGGAGGTTTCATACCCAACTCTTTGAACTCAGGGTTGTGTCATGAAGAGCATCCAGCATGGAAAAAAACTATGCCAAATCTACTATGTGTAGTTGTAGCTGGTCAAACTGGAGCAAATGTAATTGCTTCATACATTGTTGGGCTATTTAATTTATAAAAACACATCACGTTCTGCAAACTGATCATGTTTTGTGTATTCAATATCCAAAATGTAACTAGTAACTATAGTTGTTAAATAAAAAAGTACAAATTACAGTCTCTGAAAACCATTGTATGTATGATGATTGTCTAGTGACCCACATGGCTGACTTTAGAATATTTTATAATGTAGTGATTTAGATCCTTTCAGTTTTATTTTTTATGGAAGTGCAAAATCATTAGGATTGCCCTTTAAAGATGAGTTTCCATAAAAACAAATAAACTTTATAGACTACTGCACTGTGGATATACACTTGTGCATGCCTTATAATTTTTTGCAACTTAACATAGACAAGCCTTTGATAATTGTCCTGGGACCTGAGACACAGAAACAGAAGTCTAAACCTAGATTCTCTGTCCCACTTCTCAAGTCAGAGACTTTGGGAACACAGTTGCTGAGCTGACAAACAAGGCCACATTAATAAACACAACTAAAAAAGCTGTGCGTCGTCCAAAGAATGTCTCAGAGAAAAAGAAAATTCTCTAAACACACACGTACCTTTTGGGCAATTATATTGGACTATTGCACTGGCCATGTCAAAAATAGAGCTTTTATGATTAATTGATTAGTTAATTGACAAAAAATGATCTACTAACAACTATTTTTATAATCACTTACCTATTTAAGTCATTTTTCAGTAAGTAAATCCCCAAATTTGCTGTTTTCAGTGTCACAAATAGGAAGATCTTATGTTTGGATTTTGGACTGTTGCTCAAACAAAACCAGACATTTGAAGATGTCACCTTGGACTCCGAGAGACTAATGGATTTAGATCTGATCTAATGTTTTCTCTTGCAAGATCATCAAACGATTAGTCTACATTGTATTAATGATTGTCTTTTTGCTTTTTTTTTCACTGTAGGCTTTTCTGCAGCCGCTTATTTATTTTGTGTAGCATACATTGTGACAGCATAAGTGAAGATAATATTTAAAAGGAGGGAAAATCATGCAAAAAATTTGTTTAAAAAAAAACTCTGGTAAAGATAATCATCAAGTATACCTATGCATGGAGAGTAACATTTTCTTATGTCATTGAGGCAGAACTGTACACAATTCTTCTTTATTTAGCTTTTATTTAGTAAGATACTAATTTGAAAAGTAAATCACACTAAAAGGAGATGACACTACACATAAATACAACAGAGGGTACAGACCAGAAACAATGGAAGACGTAAGTGGAAGTGTGCATGTTCATGGCAGGACCATATTTGTGTTTGTTTGTGTCTGTGTGAAATTATATTATGTTCCATAAATATTTGTATGTGTGAAGTGTAACTAAGGAAACATGTGGATGAAGGAAAAAAATGCTATTCCAATGCCAGCCCAATTTCTTCAGTAGGCACCACTCTTTCATCAAGGAATGAAAATAGGTGCGCCCAGGAGTTCCTCCATTTTTATTTTTTAATTCCTTATGTATGAGAGTGCAGCAAATTGCAGTCTAATTTACATTAATTACATGTTACGTGAATTAATTTTTTTCATTTGTATGTGATAAATAAATAATAAATGCATTTATTCTGGGTCCAGGACACAGATACCACACGTGAGAAACATCATACAATCTGCATTACTAACCCATCGCACAACGGCGTTTTATACTGAACTGCAATGGGGAGAAACATACTCACACTCATCCTCTTCTCAGAATTACAAATTAAGTAAGAACATTTTACAATAATCATACCTCAGACACTGAGATACTACAATCTTCTGGACTGGAGTCAAAGGTTACAAGTACCCTTAAGGGTTATTTCAAAGGCCAGTTTAACAGTGATTCAGCAACTATTAAATGCACTTTTTGCCAAAACAATGAAAACTGATCCACAGTTGAAACGTATTAAAAGGGGGGATGTTTGAGTACAACCTGGCAACCCGGAGGGAGTCTGGTCGAGGAAAATATTGCCCACAGCAGACTACTTGGCATTAAAGACGGCTGGCGGTAGGAGCTGCGGTAACCCGTTTCCAGAATCTACTGATCAGTTTTCTTGCCAGCATCAAGTACGTATTTAATTCCGTTTAACTACTAACACAGTGAACTAATCACTGATATGAACACTAATGCTTTAATAGTATTTTATTTGTTTAATTGAGGAGCTAAGTGATGGTTAGCCTTAAAGCAGAGCATAGAATAATAAAAGCCAAGCAGTGTGCTAACTGCGTGCTAGCTAAGGCTCAATTCAAAGGTCTGTCAATAAATAAGGCGTCTCTACCTTATGCTGCATTAAGTCTGTGTCATGGTGGTTTTGGTGTTGTAACGTTATCAGCAAATTATTGCGGTCAGTAGCGCAGAGCTGTGCAAAGCTAATCATACAACGTTAGGTAATGTTAGCTAGCTAACGTTAACGTAACCTCCGGACTTGAGCCAAATATGTGAAATGAGCTGCTCTGAACTGAAGTAGAGTCTTTATTGTGCAAGTGAAATTCAGTAAGAATATGTTAGGGTTAGAAAAGCTATCATTTAAAAACATTTTCGTGTGTTAAGAAATCTAAATCACACAGCTCAGCAGACAGGGTTTGTTAGCTAACATTATCACGAAGTTGGCTATTTAATGGGCAGGACGCAAAAAGCTAAGGTTATAATTTTTCAGAGATTTGAGGAAACCCTGTCTGTTTGGATATGATTTACAGCTGTCTTGCAGTAAAACCCGAAGGCTGATCTGACTTCTGCAGCAAGCCAAGTTACACGGGCGTTGAATAAATATATTATCTAAGATGCTAGCTACGCTGCGGCAAGTGATGACAGTGATCTCCATCTGATTATCTTTCTACCACTTAACATTACCTGTTTTAATGAAGGATATTTAGCATTTTAACGTGAAATAAGAAATGCACCGTGTTTAACTGCCTATAAACACAGAAACAACTGGTTTCTCTGTCAGGAGATTAAGTTATTTGGCAGTGGTGATGAAAAATATTTCCAGTTGAAGTGGACGTCAATGAAAACCTTGTTTGAGTCTGACTGTATGTGGCTACTTAGTGTGACAGAAGCTCCTCTAGTTTTCCACTTCGATGTGTCACTCATATTCTCCTGGTTAGAGCTGGTCAACCTCTTCACTTGGAGCAAGTTTATTTGAGTGCTGAATTAGCACTTCTCCTCAGTTGCATCATTCAATACAAGTGCACCTGGCTCTCTTGAAGATTCAAGCACCATCCCTCTTGATAAACATAATGCATCCTAGTGTTTGCATGACTGGCTGTTGCAGTGTCACTTGTTGATTGTTCCTATGTGAGTTTGACGTCTGTAAAGGTGTGGTGGAACCAGGACTGTGGCATGCCAAGTGCTAATCAGAGGGGTGTGGGTTTGTACAGCTTTTAGGTTTCCCTTTCTAGAGAACGAGGATCAGAAAGGGAAACCTAAAAGAGGGAAACAGCTGGCCCATAAAAATGGGTCCAGATCACTGGACGTCTGGTTCAAGCATTTTTAAGGTTAGAGGGGACATAATTAAAGCAGACTCGGATATGGCAGCAGTCAGCAAGCAAGTCTGACGTAGCGGTGCAGTATTGATTGTTCAGCTTAGTGATGGCATCCTTTTGTTTTAGAGACTTGCAGATGTTACTTTTCCCACTACAAATCAAAATTCCTTTTTCATTGTGTAATGTAGGAAAAAAAAATATTTCTCTGATTGTTAAATAAATATAAAGTGTCGGTTTTATTTGAGAGCAGAAGCCGAGTAAGGAATGTTGATAAGGTTTAACCAAATTTTTTGATCCATTTTGTAGTGAAACATTTGCCAAAAACAAATGGCTCCTTTCTGTATTATAAATGTGACTGTCAGGCCAGTCAGCTTCCCCAGGAGCCACTTTAATGTTTCACTTACAGGAACAGTAGTGGATTGTATAAAAATTAAAACCACATGGCAAGGTAAAGCAGTTTTTAGAAATCTTCATTTCAGATATAATACTGACCTAATTATGCGAGAATCTGTGCCATCAGTTTGGCTGCAGAAAAATTCACAATATTTGAGGAAGTTTTTGATCATGCCTGATCATCAGACTATTCAAAGGGCACAGGCTGTTAATGCATGACAAATATTCTGTGTTGCCTTCATAACATTATCACCTACTACTCCTGCAGAGAGCTGAGAAAAAGGAAAACCCTTCAAAGATGTGTTTCTGTGCAGCCCTAGTAACTTTTTCCCCAACTAAATTCAGTGCTTCTGCCAAGGACAATATTAACTGCAGATTTTTTCGAGAATGCTCTGCCAGACAGACAATAATTTATTGAAATCTGTTTTTCATTCATATTTTATAGCCAGGGGAAATGGATTTCATTTGATTTGCATTCACATTCTCAGATCTTACAAAAGTGGAAGTTTGGTATCTGTGCATTTTTGCTTCATACAACATGGCTACAGTTACTTTCAAATGTAAATTATGTTTCTACATTTGATAAGCTGCCATGAAGCCATATTTGATCACTAGTTCCTACAACATGGCTGAGATGTTTTTCTCAATTTTTTTTCTCCACAGATTTAAATCAACTTGGTGAAGAAACAAGAGGAAAACCTGAATTTTTGCCTAAAAGGTGGAGGACTGATCTGAACGTTGTTCTTCCAGCCCCCTCGCCAGTAGTGAGCTTTGTTGGCATCTCTAGGAAGAGAAATTCAAACTGAAAGTTATCGCACTTGAAGTCCTTATTTGAACACCAGCTTAAACATATTTGAAGGGTTATTTTACAGTCTTGTGGGAGTATAAACCCACGCTTTTCCCGGATACATCTGTGTGACAATATGGCAAAGAAAAACAGCCAAAAGGGTATGTATTTGTTTTATAAACCTTTTATTTAAAAAAAAAAAAAAAAAAAAAAAAATTGAGATAAATAAAATTTTTATTAAATGTTTTGTATGCTTTAATTGTACAAAGGCATACTCAGAAGTCATCATTGGTGTTTTAATGGCTACAGAAGGTTTAACTTACTTAATTAATATAGCAAGTAAAGTTGTGCATAATTGTTCTGAAATGCAATCTAAAGGAGTCGTCCCTAAAACTATGACTGTGGTGTAAAGTACAGAAACACTTTTTACAAAGAGGAAATCAACTTTTACATGGGTCCAACAGTTTTTTTTTTTTTTCTGACTCGTCCATAAATGGCCATAGATTAACTTTGGACTTTGCCCTGACTCTTCATACTCAGCTGTTTCTTGAATGGCCCGGTTTTTATTCCACCTCTGATAGAAGGAACCCTGAGGTTGTTCCTGTTTGGAAGAATGCCTTTTTGGAGGCCTTTGGTGGTTATTAGTCATTTAAATCAGACGCAGATTCAAGACTGTACAGGCACAGATGTGATGAGTTTTTGTTTCTTTGTATTTTCACAAGTGTGCGCTGCTTGTGCTTTTAACTGAAGTCGCTGTGCTTAAATGCCTAAATAACACGTCCTTCCACCTCCACACTGCAGTGTGCAGTGAAGCCGGCTCCTTCATTTTCTCATTGTGTGTTGTTTTAGACACTTTATGCCTCCAGGGAACAAATGAAATCTGTTTGCAAACTATTAAGGAGTTAATCGGTTTTGTTCAGATAGATAAACATGGTTGTTCATGTGTCTCTGTACTTTGAATGATGACGACAAATGGCTTACAAGAACACACCTGCCAGTATAACATGATTGGGAGGCACAAACGTAGCCGACAACTCTTTTCAGGAAATCTCTGAAGATGTTTGAAAGTTGTTTTGTTTTGCAAATGATTTTCTACAGTGGTTTGCAAATACGAGTCAAGGCCTGAACAGAAAATGGAGGTTAGTGTTCATTGTATCTTTCCAGATACGTCTGGGGTGGTGTTTGACACTCGCTCGAAAATGGTCATGTCCCAAGGAGGAACAGCTGAGAGGATGAAGGAGAAGGTAAGAAGCATACACTCACTGCACATGACTGGCACAAAGAGCCGGCAGGTTGTTTTTTTGGGAAGGCTTACATTTCAAACAAAGAACTCTACATTTGAGGAAATATTATGGGATTCTCCAAAAGTTAGACATTTCCACTCTGTGTTGGTGGACTCTTTGACATTCAGCAGCATTAGTTGTGGGCTCCGCTCAACAGTTTCCCAGTGAGCTGGTTTTTGGCAACAGTAAACACGAGAGGGCAAGCTGTCAGAGCATGAGTAACAGTTATAGTATTGCTGAAGGAAGAATGCAAGGTTTAGAGTTGGTGTTGAACTGTGGATTATTCCTGTCTTAATGGGAGTTAATTCATCAGTGTCTGTAAATGTTATTGACTTGTTCAATAGCTACACACCTTAGATAACTTGAATTTCCATTGGTTGACATATGTCCTTTTGTAGTCTGATAATAGGGAGCCTCATCCTCTTTAAAGCTGTTAATCTACAATGGAACGATGTAAAGAAAATGGGACACTGCAGAGTTTTACTGTGGTGTCATAATGTTTTCATGGCAGGTTGTTTGGATGTTGGTTTCTAATGTTTTTGTGAGTTTGTCATGCCCTACATTGAAAGTAAGTAGTGCCAAAACTGCTAACACATTTTTTAATAATCAAAAATAATGATATGATTTTATAGATAGCTGTTCAAGAAATAATAACACATGACAACTCTGCTGTTCAGCTGCTTGCATGTGTTTTTACTTGTTTGCAAAACAATAAGAGGCTCTTAAAATATTTGTATTTTTGCTTTTGTAGTATATAAGTAAGACCAAGAGTCCAGTGCTGTGTTTTTAAGCCAATTATAATTTAAATGTCACAACATCTTCAGTGTGAATTTAGAGTAAATATTGAATCACCTTGAGAGTTATTTCAGATTTTAGGATTACATAAAAACCTGTTCCTCTAACAATTGGTGCTTTATTTGTTTTTTTTTTTCTTTTTACAGATCAGTGCTGTCAGGGCAGTTGTCCCCAACAAAAGCAACAATGAGATTGTGCTGGTGTTGCAGCACTTTGAAAACAGTGTTGACAAGGCTGTTCAAGCTTTCTTAGAAGGTATGATGACGTCAGTGTTTGACCTCAACACTGGTAAATAATTGGCCCTCAGAGCTCCCTTATACCTCACCATAAAACTGGTGGCATTGCATATTTTACAACAATTATGCCTTAAGAACAGTCATAATTACACCACATAAAGAAAAAGATTTAAGATAACCCACTTTATATTATGTATGCTAGTATTATCAAATGCCTACTTCCACAAATATGCTGATGGTGCCACTAGAATTCCACATATATTTCCAATACACTTCCCACTTGTAGTTAGTTAGTTTAGTCGGGCCTGTTGTCTCTGTTTGCTGCCCACAAGGCTGCTGCTTCACCTTGGGAACAAATATTTTCTAATGCATTCCATGCCTTGCATTCAGAAGTTGAGTGTCACGCATGCCTTCAGTTTGGCAGGTTTAATTATAGAACAAAAACGTACGTCAGACCGCTTTGTTCCTCATTTAGCAGTCTAAACAGCACCTTAGGGCATTCCGATATTGAGATGGGTATTACAAGTCTGTCAAATGTCAACGTGTACCTTTGTCGTCAATGTTTGCTTTATGCCGTAGGCAGTGCAGTTGAGATCCTGAAGGAGTGGAACGTCACCGGAAAAAAGAAGGTGGGAACCAGAAAGCTTGAATGTGTCTTTGTTGACTTGGCATTTTTGTCACTCTTAATTATAAAATACTTGAAGCTAATTGCTGTACTTCTTGATGTCTAAAGTATCCCTCATTCAGTCTGACACTGATATTTCCATGTGCAGCCCAAGAAGAAAAAGAAGCCCAAGCCTCAGCCAGAGCCCTCAGCAGAGCCTGCTCCACCTGAGGCCACATCACCGGAGGAGGGCAAGGATGAGATGAACGGCTTTCATGCCAACGGATCAGTAATGGATGGAGAGTCACTTGATTCTCTGAGTGAACAGTTGGACTCTGCCTCCCTGGATGCAGCCGAGCTGGACTCTGAACCCGCTACATCCGAAACCACCGGTAATAACAGCTCTTCAGCCAAAATGTGATGAGTAATAAAAGCAAAAGAGGCAAGAGCAGAGGGATTTTAGGAAGGACTAGTTTGTTTGTTTGTTTGTTTTTTCTATGCTACCATGCTAAAATGAAGATTATCGATATATTTAAAAAAAAAAAAAAAGGCTCCTGGACTTGTACAGATATTGGGCTGTAATTACAGGGCACAATGCTGATCCCTGTCTTCTCAAAGATCTAGTGAAATTCAACTTAAATTCAGTAGCAACGGGCCTCATGCAAGAACCACTGGTACGACCAGATTATAGTGCTTGAAAGTACTTAAGTTTCAGGTTTGAGTGATTAGGAGAGCTTGTTGCATTCACCAACTGTCTAGCACCTACTGTAATAGTATTCTCTCATCTAATATCTGTCACATTTCCTTGAGTTGCCTCCGATCATGGACCGCTTTGCTTTTTGAAAATGTTTTTTGAACATCTAATGTCATGTCAAGCCGTTTTCTTTTTCGTTGTCACAGTATGGAGTTGCTCTAAAGATATGACATTGATGGATTAGGTCCCTTCATTCAGCTACTGACACAGCCACATTTATGTTCTCATGAGTGCAAACAATAAAAATAAGTTACAGACTTAGAAAAGTTAGAGCACTTAATAGAGTTGGTGAATCTGACTTTGAATGTCTTTAAAAAAAATAAAAAAATAAATAAAAATTTGGATAAAAATATCAAAATGTATCAAAATGCCTCAGTACCCTCTCTGTGTACTTTGTGTCACTGGGTATATTGTTCTGCAATCCAAATGTCAGTTGTATTTATTCCATATAAAGCCCCACCATTTTCTCACACTTTGTCATCTACCTTTTTTAAGACAACTTTTCACACTGTCACAAATGTGATGTGAATCTTGTCAACTGTTGTGGCTCAACCCTGTTGTAAACAGTTTTGGAGAAAGTTAGTTTTGAAACTACTTATTTTATTTATTGTATAGTAATCTGTCTCCCCACAGGTGCTGAAGCAGAAAGTCAAGGCAGCGCTCCAAGTCCCGCATCTCAGCAAGCAGGCAGGAATGGCCAGGGTCCCAGAGGCAACAAGACCCGACGCAGGCCAGGCTCAAATTCACATCCCCCCACTTCCTCATTAGCATCCACCACTGATGAGCAAGGATCACCAGCAGTCAAGAAGATAGGTTAGACACTTATAACTCTTGTCTCACAGATGACCTTCCCCTGAAATATAGTTCGCAGTAAGAATGCAATAATCGATAATGCAAGATGTTGCAAAGGCACAGGTAAAACCTAACCAGGGACAAAATGTGTTGCAGCATTTTTTTTCTTCAACATGTCTTAAATGTCTGCCCCTCAGCTTCCAACATTGACCGCTCTGTGAAGGACCTGCAGAGATGCACTGCCTCACTGACTCGCTACAGGATGGTGGTCAAGGAGGAGATGGACTCCTCAATCAAGAGGATGAAGCAGACGTTTGCTGAGCTCCAGAGCTGGTATGTAAATTTCTTTTCATATCTGCCTCTGGTCATGGCCGCAGCTGAATCTTGAGGTGATAAAATATTTGGAGCATGTTGAAACATGAGGTGCAACAAAACACTTTTTTAGTTATTTCTACCACAGAAACTCTCCCATGGGACCAAGAATCTCCCTGAGGAGCTCATGAAGTAAACTGCCTTTCAACTAAAACAAATTTATTTCCTTTATGAAAGTTCAAGATGTAGAAGAAGTCCCTGCTCTGCGGGTGCTACTTTCTGATGGTTCAGGAACTTAAAAGAGGGGGGGGGGGGTTGAGGCTGGTCATCACCAATTAGTCATTCACAGACACCACAGCTGCTTCAACTTGTGTATAACTTCAGTTACGAAACAAGGAAGTACTGATATTTGGATGAGGGTCGGACATTTCTTGTTGTTAAATAAAGTTAAAAACACAGGCAGCTTTGTCGTTGGTGTCTCACTTAGTTTAAAACAAGTGAGAGAGAGAGAGAGAGAAGAGGAGAATGTCGAGAGCCAGCGAGTGAATGGAGAGAGGAAGCAGCAAGAAAAAAAGACATAAAATGTGTGTTCACTTGGAAGTAGTGTCATGTTTACCAAACTGCAAAGTAAAGCTGGAATCAAGAATGGGAAATCAATTCACCCCTGTGACATTGTATTCAAACCACTTCATACAGGAAACAAACATGAAAGAATTTTGATTCGTCAACATAAATGAATGAGACAATGATAAGATGGGCGATAACTGAAAGTGCTTTTCCTTGGCTCCTGCTAGAAGATCGCTTGTGGCAGCATTATGTTGAAATGAACGATTAAACTCTGAAAAGAAGAACAGACAGGACCATGATTCCACCTTAAAGCAGAAATAAATAACCAGACTAGGGCTGCAACAAACGAGTATTTTCACCATCAATTACCTGCCGATTATTTAAGTTTTTGATGAATTGTTGCAGCTCTGTATCAGATATTCATGAGAGTCACAGAACAGTAAATACAAAGAGCACCATGTGGATTATCTTCTATCCTTGTGTGTGAAAACTAGTTTTAAATGATGATGTCAGTTTTCAATCTGTAGTCTTTTTAATTTTCCCGATTTCGTGGTTCTTCAGTTACGCGGATTAAAACAAACAGGAGTACGCAAAAGATTTTTAGTTCCTAGATTTGTTCATCTAGGTCCATAGTTCCTGGAACTATTTGGTTGAAAGGGGAAATTTGTGCTCCATGATATTTTTTCTTTTAGTTCATGTTGCATTTTACTGAAGTGATGTAGGTGTTTTGTGTGTTTATGTAAGTTTTGCTTTACCATCAGTGAGTCAAAGGGCTGTTTCTTACCTTTGTCCTTGTTGGTGACTCTGGGGCAGAGCTTCGCATAACAGGAAACAGACCGTTCTATATTTTAAACCTCAGGTCGCTTTTATAGAAGCGTCTTATGACAGATCCTGCTATATTGCCGTATAAAGCATAAAGTTGCCACACTGTGTGATTTTTAGATAGCATGCCGGTGTTTACAACAGCGTCAATGTCCTGGCCCGTCATGCTGGGTCCCCCTTTTACACAGTAAATCTGGCTCTGTGACGACCTCTGTTGCCGGCCTCATCACTGAGGAGGTGTGCCAATGTGTCCTGGTTTATCTTTGAATCAGCAATTTTATAAACAAGACTCTTGTCACTCTTTTATGTATTCCTTAACTATATATTCTTCAATCAACTAAGTAAGTTGTTAAGTGTTATTAGTATCTGCTGTATTTCTCATAGAGAGCTCCCTCGTCGTCCTCTCTGAAAAGCTGAAACATGATGCCCTGGCTTCCTGTCGATATTTTGAGCTGAATGGGATATCCATTTAGCTCCTCTCTCTCTCTCTCTCAGCTGCTGCACTTGTAAAAGTTGAGCACTTTGTCAGTTTAACAAATATAAAACAGAGATTGTTCTGTTAGTGCTCAACACCTTCAGTTCCCATGAGGCTCTTAAGGCACTTTTGTGGCTAAGACTAACATTGCTGTTGACATGTTAGCAGCCAGCACAGAAAATGGACGAAAATCCTCAGTAATTCATACTTGAGCTTTTTAGAAAGATAGATGAAAGAGAACCTCATGCAACACAACATACCTGTAACCTACAAACAGCCACCAGACAAGATAAACAAGCTATCCAGCATAATTGGACCTAAAGGCAGAAGGGTTTATCCGAAGCACGCAGGATCAGAGCAGGGCTGTATCGTTATCCAGTTGTTTAGATTTCCATGTTTTATATCTGTTCCAAATATCACACTCGAAGGCTGGGCGCAAAAGCCTGCTGTCATGTCCCCCCCCCCCCTCCCCCCGACTGCATCACACCACCTTCCTGATACCTTGTAGAGTTCTGTGTCTTTGCATGTTGTGTTGTCTTCACAAATCACAAAGAAATACGGGAGGAATGGGGAACAGCGCCCATTTTTGGCAAGTCTCTCCTCAAAGGCATTCATGGTTACATTTGTTTAAAGAGAAGAAAAAAAAGGAGCCTGAGGGAGACATCCAAAACCTGCATACTTTCTCACCGGTGCACTCCTTGTTGATTGCTGTGTAAAGTGGCCATGATTGCCAGATTGCCTATTTTTAAAATTCTTAAACAGTTAAAAAGAAGAAAAAAGAAAAATTCTGTGGTTCAAGACCCTATCAGACGATATAATAGGTACTTTGTTTGAAGCATACTGAGGCCTAAAACATACCAAGTGGAGTTTTCTTGTAAACAAAGATACGTATGTTTTAATTCACTGTTCCTCACCAAGGTGCATTGTGTGTATCCTTGAGACCTGACAACAGTGGTGAGTGAAACTTGTTCCTCATGAAAGAAATCCTGCTTCATTTACATCCATATTTGTTTACAAGCCATTTTTGTCTCCACTGCCACCACCTGTGTGTGTGCGCGCGTGTGTGTGTGTGTGTGTGTGTGTGTGTGTGTGTCTTCGCCTGCATGAGTCCTTGGGGGTGTGCACAATACAAACAAAAGTCGTGGACCCCCATCGCTCCATAGCGCTACCAGTTGTCAAAAACTCCACAGGATATCTTTAACTGGACTTGGATCTGAAACTAGCACGAAGTAATGGAACCGTTTTTCTTTGCATAATTTAAATGTACTTTTTCCCCTCAGCATTTTGTGTCTTAGTCATCTCAGCAGTTCATCATGTATACCAGAATTTAAACTGTAGGTGAATGCACTTCAATAATGCAATAATAATACAGCATCGTGTGATGATGGTAAAAGGGGGAGCAGCATTACACCTGCCACTTCTTCTCATGTGTTATTGCTTAAATATTGTCCTAACTGTATTGCACTTGTTCTGCATCGTCATTCACTGATGCTGCTGCATTTCTGATCCCAAAGTGATGATGCAACCACCTCTTTGTTTAATGTTATTGGAATAGCTCTGCAATCTCAGTGCAAAGTCAGCGTACACAATATTTCTTCTTATCTTGGAGTGACTACAGAAAAATGAACCTTATTTTCTTTTCTTTTTTCTAGTTTAATGGACAGAGAAGTGACTCTACTGGCAGAGATGGATAAAGTGAAAGCGGAGGCCAGTAAGTACTGTAATTTCCAGTATGTAGACTGAACCCAAACCCTTCCTGTCGCATACTGTACCACCCAGGAGCTACTAGTATTCTTCATATAATATGATCAGCTGACTCAAGGGCCTGAAGAATCTGGCCTAAATCACTTCCAGAGAAGAAGAAAAAAGGGATTGTTGTAGCACAGCAAGTCCCAGTTTCTTCAGACTTGCAGTGGTGCCCTTAGGGTCCTGATATACCTGGGGCATACCACTGTGTGAGTGTGTATGTAACATGACGGAGCAAGACTGCATATTTGTACAAGTAGGCCATTCTCCATTATTCTGTGCTCTCAGTGTAGAGTGTTGTGTGTTCCAGGCCTGGAAAAAGTGAATAGTGTCAGGTGTCAAGGGAGACTCAATGTTGTCTTTGTGCAAGGTGTGTGGGGAATTGAGAGGGAAGTGGAGAAACTCTAGTACTTCTTGGACATCACAAAAGCCAGATTTCCTCAAAATTTACCTTTCACTAATCTCCTTCCTGCATTACATTTGTGCTGACAGGTTTCCTTCAACCCTCTCGCTCTCCTGGAGGGAAAGATGTTACTGATAAACAGCCCTCAACTCGCATGTTTTCAATTTATGACATTTGTATAACTAAACAAAAAAAGATGCTCTCTGAATTGCTTAGTACAGTCCAGGATATAATGATCCCTGTTCAATCTTACTGTGGTACTGTGGGTGCCAAATACCAGTACTGTGTAGGGCTGAAACTATTGATTATTGTCATTATTGATTAATCTGCCCATCATCAATATCTTAAAATAATCACTTCAATGGTGATCTTCAAAATATTTTCTATTAACTGACGGTGACACACAAAATGCTTTTCCTTGGTCAGTATCTCAAACTTCTCAAACTTCCTGCAGATCCTGCACAGAGACCGGGGTTCTCTGTAAACAAGCCAATTACATTAACAGGACAAATATTTACAGGCCAAACGAAACAAGCAAATTAAAAGTGATTCACAAAGCACAGTGTAATTTGCTTGTTTACTTGCTCCTGCTACCTCTTAACACTTAGGGAGAATAGACTGTTGAAGCCATTTTCTTGTGCGTTTCCACACACATCTGTGCTTGTGTATAATAATGCATGTAATATCAACTGAACACAGAACGATGGAAATTGAGTCAAGGGCAGCTACTAACTGATAATGAAAATAGTTACCAGTAAATATTCTGACAATTGACTAATCGATTATTTGTTTCAGGTCAAATCAACTAGCAAGACGATCATTTTTTCAATGAATTGTTTGGTCTATAAGATACCAGAACATAGTAAAAAAAAAAATGTCCATCACAGTTTTCTTTTAAAGGATTATCAAAATAAGATAATCATTTTCAGTTGATCAACTAATCATTTCAGGTCTGATGTAGTCTAGATTTTGATATTTAATGATCTTTTGTAAAAACAGCTGAACACCTTTGCTAGAAATATAAAACAAATGAAAAGCTCTTTATACAGTGGCTACTAATGGTATTTCTTACATTTGCAGCTCAGCCACAAGATCAGAAAAACATGCAGCTATTACATGAAGGGTACATGGTTTTGTGACGGTCCCTCTGGATCAAAAAGCAAAAACTTCTGTGTAGATTCACTGTTTTGCACACACTTTCCGAGTCAAACAGGGAGACATGCATTGTAGATGTCTCAATGCTCCAGTTTTTTTTCTGTGGTAGATCAAAAGGCAACACATTCACAAGACATGTTGAGGACACATGCAACACTGTTCTTGGCCTAACTGTATAGATACTGGATGTAGATTTAATTGAAGTAACACATTTGAATGAGGTTTAAATATGCAAAGAGACATGTTGAGTGTGTGATGACGCTTACATCAGTGCCTTCACATCAGCAATTACATTTTATCTTGATTTGAAAATGCCTTTATCTTTGACCCTTGTTTACCTACAGATGCCGAGTCAGCTGCACTTTGTACCTCTCATTTCAAAACGCCACAGCTGGATTCTCTGAGGAAAAATGAAACTTATTGGGACTGCAAGGAATATCATTATAAAATTAAAAAATAAGATTTAGAATTATAATAATCAATACCTATTTTGATGATAAATTAAATAAAGCGTAAATACCACATATTCTCTACTTCCAGCTTCTCAGGTCTGAGGATTTATTTGTTTTCAACTACGTATCTTTGGGTTTTCAACCATTGGATAAAACAGTCAGAGCTGAAACAATTAGTCGATTCATTGATTAGTAGATCAAGATCTTCAAACTATTTTGATAATTGTTTCATTTATCAAGCAGGATTTGCTGCTTTCTTTCTCTAATATCACAATTAACTGAACGTCACAATTAATTAATCAAGTAAATAATTAGCAGATTAATGAAATAAATGAAAATAATTGTTAGTTGCAGCTCTAACTAGTAGTAATTAAGAGAGTGAGTTTTACTGCTGGCAGACACCTAGAGGACACAGATATTAAAGATATTCAAATACATTGTAAACTAGTTTTTGATTGGACTGAAATTCGTCTGAAAGATGGAAGGTCACTTTTGTTGGTTTCATAAATTGTACATTAAAACCAGCTGAATATCTGCTAAAGGTGACATGTTGTTTGTGTGTTCCAGTGGTGATTTTGGACGCCCGACAGAAGAGAGCGGAGGAGCTCAGACGGCTGACAGACCAGTCAGCATCCATGTCTGAGGAGCAGTTGACTGAACTGCGTGCAGACATCAAGGTACTTTGAAAAACACTGCTGCTCCAGTTTGGCCTCATGTGTCTCTGTCTCACAGTGTTTGACTTGGTACTTTGTGACAGAGTCTAAATGTGAAATGGCTGTTAATTGTTCAAGCAACTTAAAAAGCTCATTTGCAGTAAGTTGTTGTCTTTTCCAGGTGAACCACAAGCAGAAATAATAACTGAAAGAAAATGGCAAATCAAAATACATTTACCTGCTGCATCTTGGATAATGATTTTGTTATTATAATTGATTATCTCTTTTTTGCAGCACTTTGTGAGTGAACGTAAATACGATGAGGACCTTGGGAAAGCTGTAAGATTTACATTTGATCTTGAACCGCTGAAGACAAGCATCTCGACGTTTGGATCAGGTACTGAATCTCTTCCTTTTATTACCTTCCTTATCTGTGTTCAAGTGAAAATCTGCCCTTTCCCATTTAGTAATCCTAAACGATACGTAACACCCTCCCCGCCACCCATCACAAAATACAAGACCAAGCTGATCACTTTCCACAGTTTATAATGTCATGTCTCAGGCATCCACAGTTACAGCAGCTGGTACAGTGCAGACAGCAGGCTGGAAGTACACACTGACAGTGACTAATAAGCAAATTATTGCACTATGTCAAAACAAGATCAAGATGTGTGCTGTGTCTTTGGAAAAAGACAAAACTTTTGGAAAAAAGCCGAAAGTAATATTGTTCAGTAAGACCCACATTTTCATCTGACATCATAAAATAATATCATCTTCTCAAATGCGTCAGTGCTTGTTTGTCTGGAAGCTCTCAGAGGTCAATAGTTTTCCATACTATTACTATGGACACAGTAAAGTTGGTACTGAAAAGTAGTGACGTCTAATAGCCACCAAAATGGAGCAATGTTGGAGCTCCACTGATCGTCCTCAGGCTGTATGTGTAAAATAGATATTATCAAGCATTTATGTATATGTCGTTATGTATGTCAATAATAAATTTATATCAATTGTACTCACTTCATCTGTAAGTGGTGATAATGGTTTGGCTCATCTGTGTATGTTAAAATAATACACTGTCATTATGTGGTTTTAAAGAAAGCCAGGTAATCAGTATTGCTACTAATTAGTGCAAACACATTCAGAACTCATAAATTTGCTGAACTAAAGCAGTGATCTGTCCCATGAAACAGGATTATATGTACCCTGCTCCACATTGCCAAGGAAAACCTAGAACCCCTTCAAATCCCTAATATGGACGGGTTTCCTGTTTGCAATCAATGACACATGTGCAGCAGGGGGATAGAAAACTCATTGCCACAATGTCATGATAGCTTACATATGGACAGCCTCAGGACTGAGAAATGAAACCAGTGAAATTAATACTGAAAGGTGAATTTGTATGTGGCATTCATCCTTACATTTCCAGAGCTCCAATCCACACTGTGATAGATGCTGTCAGCCATAGATAATGACACATGAATTAGAGTGAGGAAGTGCCACGTGCAGCAGTAGCAACTCTAACCAGAACTACACTAAATTTAGCTCTTCCAGGTTTTGAGAAATGAACTGTGAATGGGTCTCAACAGGCAGCACAGAACCCACCACCCCTCACACAACTAATGTTAGCATTATTAAAAACCTGAAGTTCATGTGTATGAAAATCCTGCTATACAGTATGTACCCTATGCTAGACGTCTTATGTCGGTCTCAAAAAGTACTGAATTTAGTTCCTTCAAAAAAAAAAAAAAGCCAGAGAAAATTTTAGAAAGTCTTTAATTTAAAAATGTCTTGAATGTTTAAGCCGTAGACAGTAACATTATTCATAACTTTTGGCTGTCAGGAGACAGTTGCTTGGAAATTGATAATAATAAGTTATTTTTTAAATGGTTAATCCATCCACCAATTTTCTGCCTCCTGTCTGGGTCCAGGCTTGGAAGGATTACGAGACTCTGGGCTCCTGAGTAAAGACGAGTAAAAGGTCCCCCAGCACTCCTAGATAGGACTCCCACACTTTGTGGTTGTTTGTTTCTTTGTAGTGTTTTTTTCTCTCTCTCTCTCTCTCTCTCTCTCTCTGGTCATTTTTAGTTTCTTTTTTAGCTGTTTTGTGTCTCTTAGTGATGGTCTTGCCCGTCTGTTCAGTAATCCATACGTGGGTCCAGGTCACGTTAATTGATTACTTATGTTACTAAGCGATGTTGTTATATACAGCTGGGAAGTAAGGTGATTATAAATGTCAAGAAATTCATCCACCAATGTTTTTAGTCATGCTGGTTTGTTTAAGAGTGACGTCACTGTGCGGTGAGAAAACACTGATTTTCACAGTGCAGTTACGAAGCTAATGTAATAATCTTGCTTCAAAAGACCAGTCTCAGGTTGTATAGTAAGTGCTTTACCTTGTTGTTTCTCTTACAGTTTACCATCCACGTACAGGCTACTCAAATCGGTCCCGCTGTAGCTCCACATCCTCTTCTGTCGCCAGCCCGAGCCTGCTGGAAACTCCTCCTCCCACCCAGACCCAAAGCACCCCCAGTGAAACCCGCCCCCCACCAACCAAACAGGTTCAGATCATGAATCAGCTTCACACTTCACAGATGCTGATGCCCTCCAGAGATTTAATTAACTTCTAGATACTGACTGACTTTTAATTCTCCCCGCAGATTTTCCAGGGCAACAGGCGTACTTTCCAGGGACAAGGTTTTCACTCGGGTGGTCAGCGGTATAACGGCGGTTCCTACCATGATAGGAACGCCGGTCGCACTAACCATCGCTACCAGAGTGACGGTGGTCATACTTCACAGCACTCCAACAACTCGAGGGGTCCCTCCCATTCCTCCTCGTCCTCCCACAACCAAGACCGACCCTCCCACAACCAAGACCGACCCTCTCACAACCAAGACCGACCCTCTCACAACCAAGACCGACCCTCCCACAACCAAGACCGACCCTCTCACAACGGGCTGCCCCAGAGGCCTCCGCGGACGCACTGCCCTTGACGCTGGAAACCCTCATCTTAATCAAACCCATCTACTAACCCTTGCACTCTCCTCCCGGTACCCATCCCATACCCTGCACACCCCCACCCCCCCTATTAACTCCTTTCAATGAAGAATAGAATACAAGTTTACATATTTCCATCAGTTGAGCTATAGTGCCACCTCTCTGCATCATACATCCATTCATCCTTCAAACTTGAAAAGCTCTCACTGTTCTCTAATCGCTCTTCCTTTTTGCATCCCTCCCATCCCGGTATAGGTAACAGCTTCTATCCTTAGCCCCCCTTTGAGAGATCTCATTGCTATGCTATTGTCAGTCTGTTGTTAACTTCTGCAGTTGAGCAGTCTGCCAGAGACTGACAGAACTATCTGCAACAATTTGTGCACTATTGAAGTTGAACTCTTAGTACTTTCTATTTTTGCTGTGGCTTATGTCAGCTCTCTGATTTGCACCTCAAATCTTGTTTTGTTTTCTTCTTGTCTCCCAGAACCATTTCAATGCCTTCACCGTGGAAAGCGTAGTGAAAGTGCAAAAGTTGTTCTAGCATGAACAGGGATTTTTGTCATCAGGAGAGTAGACATGCAATCAACACTACAGACTATCGTTAATCTTTGCAAGGTTAAAAAAAAGAAAAAAAAAAAGAAAAAAAAAAAAGAAACATATCAAACTGTAATCCAGAGCTTTTCAAATGGCTGCTATAAACAGTAGGGAACTTGTTAACGCTAGGACTTAGATGTGTTTGAGAGGACCTCATAAGTTGCTCTCAAAAGGAATAGTTCCCAGCATTTTGGAAACGCGCTCATTTGCTGTCTGGCCGAGAGTTAGAGAAGTTGGATACCACTCATGTATGTAAACTAAGTATGAAGCTAAAGCCAGGAGTAGTATATAGGCCAGAAGCGGGGTGGAAACAGCTCCGTTACCTGTCTTAATTTAACATCCTCCTCCTGCTAGCTCCTCTTATAGCTCACTTATTAACACTTTCTATCTTTTCATAAAAAAAACTACAAGTGGTGGTTTGATGGGGAGTTATGCACCAGAGCGAGCAAGGCTATCTGTCTCCCCTTTGTTTCCAGTCGTAATGCTAAACTAAGCTCATTGTCTCCCTCTCCAATCCAGATGTGCTGGCTGTGCTAGCTATCTCCTCATCTGACTCTCGGCAAGAAGCGAAAATAGTTTCCCAAAATGCGAAACTATTCCTTTTAAATATTGCCTAAGGCAGTGATCTATTGCCCACCTCCCACCGGCCAACGTGGTCATCACGTGTGCTGTTGTTCTTGGCTTGCTGTCAGTTATTTTATAACAATGAGAGGGCTCATTACCTTTTGTAGAAAACTGTTAAATGATATGTTCAAACTCACAGCAAAGGAAACTGTCCACATGATGTTTTGTAGTTAGTTCTCGACATTTTTTCAGGTGGATTTTCTTCCACACAGTACAGTTTGTTCAGTTTGTTTTTGTTGTTATATGCACATGAATGGCATATTAATGACGTGCTTGCCTTTAGTCACAGAGAGACTTCACATTTGCCTTTCTAGAAACATGGATGTCTGCATCATGTCGGCTTTCTAAAAACAGATGGTACTTGTAGAGCAGACGTGAATTATAAATATATTTGTGAGAATAAGGTGCAAGATTTACTCTTCCCCTTTTTATATACTCACTTTATCCCATCTGTGAAAGTAAAATTGATTGATGGAAGGTTGGTATTGGACTTCACAGGTCGTTTTTATGGCTGCAAAGGAGACAAGGCTGCAAGGCTGTTGTTGGGGTTAAGTCTCTTCGTAGTGTCCACAGTCCGTGAACACAAAGCTGGTGAATACCTCATTGCTGATATTTTGACTAGGCCTGTTTTCAAGGCGTTTTCTCGCAGTGGGTGCTTATTTAGGGACAGGAACCGCTGGTGTTTTCTCATCTCTCACTTGTAGTTTTGTACCGAGGCAGAGCTGCAAGGCTGTTGAGTAAAAGCGGTTGTTACATTATTGCTGCATTTTCTTCATGTGTTGTCTTCCCTCGAGAAAGAAATTAAGGAAAAGAAATGAATTTAAAATTTTGCTCTCACCCCTCTTCATGGAATTTCTGATCATAAGAGGTTTTTTTTTGTGTTTTTTTTTTTGTTTTTTTTTAAAGATGAGATAGGATAAAAAAAAAAATCTTTATTTCAATAATTATATTAGTGAATATTGTGGAGAACTTGTTCGCAGTTTTTGGTAAATATGTGTTTGACTTTAAGGATATTAACAAAAAATCTTCTTTTTCTGCTTTCTTGTGTAGAGTTCCATGAGAAGATTGACACCACTCTTGTAACATGATGATATATATGAGAAGCCAGTTAGCTTAGCTTAACATAATGACTGGAAACAGGTTGCCCTGTTTAGCCCAGATGTTCATTTACCAAAGCAACCAGTTAGTCTTCATCCTTGAAGTGTTTTCTCCTGTAAAACTGAAAAACACTCTGAAAACATTTTTGATAAAGAATAAATTTCACGTTTGTGTCGCTTGACGACCAAGTGTGAAATCGGCTCATTGTTGCTCCTTGTGGCTGTTGGGGAAACAACCTCAACAACTTCTCTGGCAGTGATGATGCCATTATGGCTTACTGCAGCACAACGAGGCGAACACGGCACCATGCTAGAAAAGTCACTTAGACAAATATTACAAAGGTTTAATTTACACTTTATGGAAAGAGTTTTCAAACTGTATTTTTTCAGTTTTATGGGAGAAAAGTCTTCAGGGATGAAGAATAACTTGGGTACATCTGGTTAAGCGCCCCCCACCTCCATGGAAGAGCCATGGACAGCTGCTTCCCTTAGCTTCTCTATGGAGCCATCCAGGATCGTTTTTTCCAAACAGGGTCAGGAAAGAGGAGAGAAACTGAGGTGTAAGTGTAACACGACAATTCACAGTATAACGGGGGTAATGGCTGTTTATATTGACCTCATTTGTCGTTTATCATCAAATTGCTTTAATTTTTTTTCTGTATCATATAATTAACAGAAAACCTCAGGTAAGACAGGATTATTCCACTAGTGTAAGGCTGCAACTAACAATTGTTATTATCAATATTTCAGTTTTTTCTTTAATAATTGACTGTTTAATGTATAAAATGTCAGAAAACAGTGAATATTCAGATTTCACGTTTTGTCTGACCAGCAATTATAACCCCAAAGATGCTGATTTCATATCATAGAAAAAAGGGAAACAAACAATTATTCACATTTCACAAGCATGTTTACTCAAAAATATCAATCAAATATCAAAATTGTTGCCAATGAATTTTCTGACAGTCAACTAATGGTTTAATCAACTAATCATTTGAGCTTTAGAGTACAACTTCTACCATGTACAGTGGAGGTCAATAGGAAGTCAATCTGGCCATGCGGGGGTGTTGTATGTGGTATCAGTCTTCTCATCTAACTCTCAATAAGGTAAGAAAGCAAAAAAGTGTATTTCCTAAATTGGTGAAACTATTCCTGTAAGTGCTTTCAGAGGCTGTGACGTGGTTATAATGTCACAAAGATTTTTATTGACTGAAGTTGTTGGGGGAAATTTTTTACAACTTTCCTCAACCATTGAATTGATGGCAGGCTGCGGTTTAGGCTGATCAAAGCTGCAGGACAGATGATTAACAAACAATTTAGCTTTTATTCCAGCGTCTCTACTATTAGAGACGCAGGACCTGTATAATCAAAATTCAAAAGAGTAGTTGTTTTCTCATCTGGGATTTTGTCTGTCTCACTTTAACCACTTTTTGTTGTTTTACATTCCAAACTGTAGGAATATTAGGTTATCGCCAAAGAAATAATTTCGTCCTGTTTCAAAAAAAAAAAAAAAAAAAAATTGCTGCCTTTTTGTTTTCTGTCCTCAGCCTGTAAAGAATTCCAAAGGGGATAAATCCAACACTTCACCTTCATTCTTTCCACCCTACTTTACTTTCAGATTCCTTACTGTATATACATATATGTAGCTATATAATTTTGTGCTCACATAGGGCATTTTGTATGTGATATTCATACTAGGCATAATGGAGGTTAAAACATCTAGTTCATTCATTTCTTCCAGTAGACCTTGTGTCCTTCTCAAGACAACTTTTCTGAGACAACTGTAAACTCAAGTGCCTTTTCTTGTCTCCCACCGATTCATTGACATCCCCTCCACCAGAGTATGGACCAAAGACATCGACCGTCCCCAACACCCCTGCCCCCTCTTTCTCCCCTTCACTGAATGGCACACTTTTCATTTCCTACAAATAAACAGTTTGCAATACTGAATGTGTATGTTTATTTTTTTGTGGTTATATTAATATGTAATGGATGGAAACGCATTCATTAGACTGTATGTCAGCAAACCAGGAGGTAGGTGAAACACTGAAAATAGTGTTCCAAGTAAAATCTACTGACTGAAGGTTAACACAGGTGGCCTGCATACACAGTAACGAGGATGAGCTACATCAGTAAACTTTGAAACACCTGTGTGGAAAAGAATTGGATGTCAAGTACCTGTGCACAACAGCAGGTGCAGCCAGCAGAGGGCGGCACTACACTTTGAAAAAAGGTTCAAATGTGAGTTTTGAGCGCGAGGCTTGGTGGAGGACCTCATCAAACAGCAGAGGTAGGAGGAGTATTCATATGTTTTACTAAAAAGTACCAATTCAACAATGTAAAAATATTCTTTTACAAGGAAAAGTCCTGCACTGCTACACAAGTAAACAGTAAATGTACTTAAAATATCAGAATACGGAAAAAATGGAGAAATGGCTCCAGAGACTGATTGTTGCATTGTTGTTATCCTGCATCAGTAGCATTTTACTGTTGTAGCAGTTTAAGGGTGGAGCTGCTTTATCTACTTTATACACAGCTACATATTTCCGTCCAGTGGTTCCCAACCTAGGCGTCAGTCCCCTCCAAAAGGTCACAAGATTGCACACATTTGTTGTCATTTTTGTTTCTCTAATCTTTGCTTTTTTTGTGACTTATTTGTTAAAACAGAAATCCAGAGGGGAAAAGTTTCTTTTGTGGAACTGATCTGAAACCTGTCCAGGAGCCCCAACTACACACTGATTTTTTTGTAAGGGGTTGCAAGTCAAATAGATTAGGAACAGCTAGCTTAAATTTCAAAGAATGTTTTGTATTTTACAAGCAAATCACGTTTATGTAAAATATTCATCTGAAAAGTGACTAAAACTGTTAAACGAGTGGGGGTGTTTCCCTCTGAAGTAGTGAAGTTTAAAGTAGCAGAACATGGAAACTCTCAAGTACAAGCACCAAACAAATGCACTGATGTGCTGTACTCGAGTAAATGTATTTTCCACCACCACCGTCAATCAGCAACCAAATGTTCATTAACCCTCTACTATGCAAAAAGTTCTTTGTTTTCGAGTTTCAGTCAACAGATGATATTTTCAGCCTTTGCATGAGGATTAAAAAAAAAAAAAAAATACATTTCCATGGCTAAATGTTGTTCTCCAGTTTCTTTACCTCCACCCTACACTCTTCATTAGGTTCATTAGGTACACCTGCACAGTCTGTTTCAATTCAATACAGCGCCCCTCTCATAACATCTATCTTTATGGAGCTCATCACATTCAGCTTTTGTTAATTGTTGACGTCATAGTTAAAGTTGGGGGGTATTCCATAAACGTCGCTAAGGAAATCAGCGCTAATTTGAAAAAGCCCGGTTAGAATTAACGTCGACTTTCACTTCAGGCTCAAGCCGTTCAATTAACACAAATTAGCAAACGGCTAGTCAAGGTTTAATCAAATCAGGCTTGAACAAGATGCATCATACGCGCACACGGACTATACAATAAATAAATAAGACATTATGAAATAATGTCCCAATTCAGGGGCTGCATAGAAAGGAGGGAAAAGAAGAACTGTCTTGTTCTTAGCAGCGCAGCAACTGCTGCTGATTAGGGTTACCACCCATCCTGTATAATACGTGAATAAAGAAATGCCAAGTAAAACTAAACCAGCCACAACAACAGGTGGAGTGGAGAAGTTCATCAGTGAGCAGTAACTGACGAACTCTGCGCTGATGACAAAGTCGTGTGCACCTCCTTCGCGTAAAGTCAGTAATACAGTGCACATCAAAGTTCCTGCGTGTCATCCTCTTTCTCACTGTAGCTATCAAAAATAAAGGCAATAAAAAAGAAATGTTTAATTGTACATTGCCCACTGAAGCCTATATTATAGTCTTAGCCAAATTACACAATAACCACTGTAGGTAACGAGGCAATAATCGGCAGATTGATCATTCTAATATTCCATCCATTTACTTAGATTTGTGGCTGAAGGTTAAGATACGTATTTATTTTATAATTCATAAATATGATTGATAGCCTATATTATTAATATGACAATGCACAATTTCAAACCTCTACATTAATAACCACATCAATCTACCGTGTATAATTGATAAACACACAGCTACACAATTAAAGAAAAAAAGTATTCCTGGAGCAAACACGGACATGAAAAGAATGATGCGAGGGCAAGACACTTGATGGAAATGTCTTTTGGGATTTTGTTTCAGGTCGTTGGAAAAATAATTGAAACACAGCTAATTGAAGCTTGACAGTTAGCCTGCTACGGCTAGCTCAGCAGTATCAGTTACCATGGTTACAGTTATGGAACGGAACTCTGGCTTTATCTGCCCTTATCTGCCTTGATGGAATAGGGCCCATGTGTTGTACTGAACTACTGAACTATGACCTCAGTGCTAAAACATTTTATTAATTCAACACAAAACTCCTAAACTTTATTGCAGAACTGTTGTACTGATATTAACCTGTGTACACAACAACATGACCACTGAGTGCATGCTAAATGGCAAATACAGATCATTTTTGGCTTAAAAAATGTCACTGCCTTGAAGCGCTTTGTCCTCACTGTCATTGGGAAAAGACCTGACTCCATCCACTGCCTTTAGATCATACAATGCACCTGTGTTACATCATGTTACATTATAACACATCTCCATCATTAAGTATAGTGTATTGTCCTAACAGGTAGTCTGATTGAAGTGAGGCAGCAAATGGAAAATTAAAACATGTCTTCATCCATATGTTTCTGTTTTTCCCAACATCTTATATTCAAAGATATTAAAGAGTCAAAAGATGTAACTTCAGTAGCCTAGTGGTTGTGAGTATTTATCGCCTGGGCTGTTTTTAGCAGATGTTTCGATTGTGTGATTTCACTACAGGAGCGCTGCTTGGACATCAGTCTAGTGCTGTTTTCACAGCAGGATCACCTGACTACTTGTAGCCTAAAGGATGTAAAAAGGGAGTTTGGATGATTGTTTACTGAGGACTCGCTGCTGTGAAGCTGATTCAAAACATTTGAACCTTTTGTATGTTAAGATAAATTAACACCACCCATCATGTCATGATCATGGATCAGGTCCCTTTTCTTAAAAAATATAAGTGGAACACAAAGTGAGAGAAAAGATAAAGTTTCTCAGTGACATTTCTGATGCAAAAATTCATCGAAGATGCAAAAGTGCTGAAGAGGAAGTTTTTTTTCATGAGAACAGCTACACTCATTAAGTCAGACAGAATCAGGAGGGGGAATTCAAGGCTGGACATATGATCCTTATCCTGGACGGGAAACAACATTAAAAATATTCTTACAAGAATTGCAATATTGCAGTAAATTCTAAGATTTATAGTGCTCTGGTTAAAGAACAATGGGAGGCAGATCTTTGAATTCAAATGAAAGATGAACATTACTCTGGCCAATTTGTTAGCAAACAGCAAAATGTAAATTGTCGACAGAGTTTATTAGACACTTGAGAGAATTGGTCGCTGTAGAAGTGATCCTTCAACAAAATGTATGTGATCTGGCAGAGCACTTTATCAATAAATATGGAATTTCATTTGTCAATATTCATGGTACTCCTCAGAGACTCCTAATATTTAATTTAATTCTGTAGGAACAGACTTTTCTTGTTGTGTACAACATAAAAACATAAAAATGGGTAGATCATACTAAATGTCTTCTCGTAACTTCATTTATTCATTAATTTTTGTTTTGTATGTTTTTTTTGTTTTGTTTTTTTTTTTAATTCTAATCTTTTAATTCTGCCATTTTTCTTAAGTGCAAGTTTTAGTTTGAATGTATTTTAATACGTAAGTATCTCTTTGTTTAAATTACTGAAGATAGTTGGAACTTAAGCCATTTGTCCTTAACTTGAAAGAAAACTAACTTCTGAGAAATGTGATGAATGTGCCTGTGTTTTACAGCAAGCAGAGGTACTACACCACTTGGGAACGACCCAAAATCTGCCAGCAGATGTTATCAGACTTGTCAGGAAAATCAACAGGTAAATCTGAAACCAAGTACGCATAACACGCACAACTTCATAAAGGGCCAGGAAGCTTATTGTTAAATTTCAATTGACTTCTGTGAAAAACCATAGAGTGAGGTCTGTTTTGATAAATTTTATCATGTATTCATGTAAAATATATTTCCCACTTCCTGAAATTAACATGATGCATCTTACAGAGCTCATGACACATTTATTTATTTACATGCACCAAAACACACTCCTTTTTTATTTTATTTTTTTTTACAAAAGGCTCCAAAATCATAAAATACAAAGTCATTTTAATTTTTCTGAAAACCTAAATGAAAAGTACAAATTGTGACATGATTAAAACTGTGACGTCACTGAGCTGCAGTGGACTGTGCAGGCAACAAAGTCCTCTGTTAACACTGTACACAATGCAAAAATAAATGCAAATAAGTACAAAATATCACACTGACTGAACTCGTGGAGATCAGTCGAAACCTGTCCAGGTGGAACAAGGCATGGTACGGCTCACAGCCCCATCACAGAGGGAAACACAGCAGCACCTGTTGAAGGAAGAACAGTGCTTTCAATCCACTGAGACGGTTTCTCTCGACGCCCTTCCAGCTAAACTCGTTATCACTTCATTTACATCTAAATCAACATTAGGTCGTACTTTTTGGGCTACCTTGACCATCTCCTGTGTCCGCATCGGGGACTTTCCAGTCCAGCTGGCGACCTTTTTCATAGAGCCCCTTCAGGATCTTCCTCACTTCGTCGTTCCCACCTCCACGACTCAGCTCCAGGTACTTCCTATACAGCTGCAGAGCGGTGCGTGCATCCTCTATGCTGTCGTGGGTTTCCCCTTGGATGTTGAGGTCTGTGAACAGGAGTCGCCAAATGAAAAGGACAATCAGGAATGATTAGTCACCGTGATTCCTACAGCAACATTTCCTGCAGCACCAGTTCCCAATCAGGATAT